TTCGTCGCTCTCTGTCTCTCGCACTATTTGCCGGACTCTTACTCCGACCCTCTCTACCTCAAACCTAGCAGCCTGAGCGGCCGTGCATTTCCGTAACCGTCCGCTCCCGTTCGTGTATCCAGTCGCGTTTGCTGATTTTGCGCGACCCCAAACATCAGCACCTACGGTTGCGTTTCTCGATTTTACGCGTCCCCAAAAATCGACAGGATCCGTTAAGCTATCGTCTCGTCCGATAGGTTCCGTTAGAGCTCTCGTTCTTGGTGGAGTAGGGCCTGTTCCACCCCAACTCCCAGTTTATACCGGCTCGTCAGTTCCCGGTGAAAAAAGAATTGGCTGGCGCCCGCCTGGCTTGCGGATGCACGAACGACGGGTGGACGGCCCAAGGTAACGTAGGTTGGTTCTCGAAGATAGTCGTTTTCGTATGTTTTGCTATCGGTGTCGGGTCAAAAGTTAAGTTAAAAGAATTACGTTACAGTACCTTAAGGCAGGATTCTACTTTGGGTGCTCGGAAAAAAAACTATTTTCATGAATTTTTTATGAGATTATGAATAAATATATTGATGTAGAATTTATTAGGCTTAATAAATACACTATTAAAATACGTTAACAAAATTTGTATTATATATTTAATGCACTTTTAACATATATAAACACTATTTGAATACAACGCTTCGATTAGTAGGTGGATCTGCGCTGCTGTTGAAGTTTCAAAATAGGGTTATCTAAAACAGAAGAATTTTGAATTTTTAGATTCAATATATCACTAGCAACCGACTGAACTAGAATTATTTAAAAATTTTGATTTTTACTATTTTTTTGGGGCAGAAAGCTGTGAAAAAACATGCAGGTGTTTTTTGTTTTCTCGCCACCATTTTGTTATTTTTGCTTGTACATTAAAAATTCTAGTTCAGTCGGTTGCTAGTGTAAAGTAAAGTCAAGTAAAATTTTTCTGTTTTAGATGGCCCATTTTCGAAATTTCAACACCAGCGCAGACCCACCTACTAATCGCGACGTGGTATTCAAATAGTGTTTATATATGTTAAAAGTGCATAAAATATGTACAAAAAATTTTGTTAATGTATTTCAAGAGTGTTTTTATTAAGCCTAACAAATCCTACATCTTTATTCATAATCTCATAAAAAATTCATGAAAATAGCTTTTTTTTTCGAACACCCAAAGTAGAATCCTGCCTTAACACGTCTCACTTGGTCTTTCATGAACATATAAATACAATATTTATAAAAAACAGTAATGTTACATAGACAACGTATAGCGCAATTCTATTATTACGTGAACTAAGGAATGTAATGCACGTAAGCAATTTTCAATAATGAAATCGATATAGGGAAATCTTTATAAGAAGATAGTCGATGTATCGGATGGGATTTAATCAGAGTAGGCTGACATTGCTACGGGTCGTATAATTAATGTTTAATTAATTAACAATTTGTCAAGCTGTCGCCCCACGTCGTACTGCAGAGCCACAGAGAAATCTTGAACATAGCCTCAGCAGGTATGTCGAGTGAATACAATCACGAAACTCAGAATTGCTGGAAACCATAATTGATCGAGTTTCAGAAACTACATAATGAATAACTATTTGATGACTACATTTGGTACCTATATAACAGTTTGTATAGCGACAGGCGACTTTGGATAAAAGCAATTTAATGAAATTAAATCGAAGCATATAAAGATACACAATGCAATTAGCTACGGTACCAGATAACATTATGACAATCAGGGTAAGAATCATAGTATAATGATTACACGAATTGTAGCACAACAATAATATTTAAAACGAAAAATATATAAAATTGAAAAATATCCATGAAGGAATTTTCGTTAAATTTAACTACGTTGGTTAAGTGTATTGAAATAATATTATACAACGTATATCTATATTGATATGATATAATCGATTACATTATAAATTAATGTTTTGTTAATGAAGATAAAAAATGTAATAAAGGCTACACCAGATTACCGTGCTAGGCTGATCCTCAGGACAAAATATATAGAATTAAAAGACCCGTTCGGAAAGTTCCTTTGAATTGTACCATTGGGAATAAGAGTGACTGAACGTGCGCACCTTATGGAGTTAGTGGATACAGCTGAGAGAAAGGGTCTCATCCCTTGTCTTGTGAACCCTAGAGAATAATCGTATTATTTGAGAAAATGCAATCTACTCTTCCACCACTAGCGTTTCGTTCATGAACGACAGGGGTTGGAAAGAAGAATGGCGAGGGGTGAAATGCGAAGTGCCAAAGTGTTTCAAGTGAAAGAAAAAAGGCGAACGTGATAAAGAACAAAAAAAAATTAAAATTATAAGAATTTAAGAGATTGCCATATATTGCCTCAGAAGTAGAATGCGAATTTGATCTTTTTCTCAGTTGCCAGTTTTATTTCCATTTTATGGCTTTTTTTTTCTTCGATACCTTTAATTACTTTATACATATATTCATATTTTTGTATGTGTTTGGTTAATTGCAAATCGTTGAAATTAAAAAAAAATTGTCTTCCTTCAGTCTTCACAAAGTTTCATCAAGTCAATTTCAAACTTTCCTTCAACCGCTTCCGCGACGATCTTTTATATGTGATGGCTGCATATGACCAGATGCTCATTTTAATTTAGTTCCATACTTAAAAAAAAATTAGGATGAATTTTTGAATTGAAAGTTATGCGAATGATAGTCCACGTGCGAATAAATTTTGTCATAGTTTTGGCAAATCATTCATTTGAAATAATGTTTGCGTAAGTACAGCACGCGTTAACACCTTGCCTGAAAGACATAATGGAAATTCCATTAGCTTTGTTCGGTAAAACCAATTTCAGTTGTTGTACGTACCAAATAACTCGCTATTTATTCGCATTGTTTCCCATTAAAATGGTTGCTCCACACAACAGATAAAAGAAGCAGACTTTGAATTTGAACAACGTCCCTGTGGACCTGCTAGGTGTCATGATATCCCTGTTGTCCTAAACAAAGAACATTTTTCATATTTCATAAATGTAAAAAAAAATCATAACAAATATAATTTATCTTGCTTTTATTTTTTATGTACTATTATTATTTAGTCTTTAAGGATGACTCGATCCAACGCATTAATAAAATACTATTATCTCTCTCTCTCTCCACTACATATCTAATTACATCATTGATGATTACATTCACTTGATCACAATTTGATATATCTTATTGCATATCGTTCAAGTAAATTAGAATAAAATTTCGCATAAATTATTTTTCAAAGTTGAGTTTAATATCTTCAAGATAGTTTGCCATATATTACTCATGCTTTTACTTCGATATCTTATAAACGCAATTTCCTCACAATATTTTCTCAAAATTCCCTTTTAGACTGTCTGAAAGAAAAAGCTTCTGTATCAACAGTCGAGTCAAATCAATGAAACTGTTTTTTCATGGACGAAGAATCATACGTTGCAATAACAGAGAGAATATTATCAGCCAAGTATATCTAAGATTTCATAGCACTCTTGCCGATTCAACTACGTGACTCAGACAGGATACATCATGATGGAGAGGGTTTGCTCCCGTAATATGCCCAGTAACCAGGAGCTACCATAAACAACATATATATATATATACGAAAACAGTAAAGGAGATGAACCATGTCGCTAGAAATTCTCTATGTAGACTTTAATATTACAAAGGAACCAAAGTAATATCAAAGAAAAATATGTTTTTATCGTATAATTGAATTCACAATAAACATCATCGTCAAAATGTTAATTTACGAATACCGTTATGAAAGTAAAAACGAAAAAACGAATTAAAGCGTTGAATTGCCTCCAACGGAACCTGAGAATGCTAACTGCTAGCTCGTTAATTAAACGTCAACCGTGACGTGTTAATCCGTACCGGGATGTTTGGTTACTTTATAAAGACAGACATTTCCCAGGAAAGCAACTAAATATACCGTTTCCAGTTCATCAGAATGAATACTCGATCCAATGAGGATTTGTCGTTCCTCAATATTTAGCTGGAATGTATGGCTTTCATTGAAATTACATGCCTTTGATAACAATAGAATGAAATTTCGCCCATGAGACTTGATAGGAATTTAATTTCCTGCAAATGAAATCCACGTATATATTTTCTTATTAGAATAAAATTGTCCAATGAATACGTCATTAAAAATACTTTCCAAGAATGAACAGTTTTTCTCTGCAACTAAATATTTTTCGTTTTGCCTTTCCTTTGTCAATTCACTACGGATTTCACTTACTCTTGGCATTTTCATTGGTACACCTACTATATCACTGATTAGGCTCGACTCATTTTCTATTATGCCATATTGCATGGGGTTTCCTTTGTGTTTTCAGAAAAGTTAATATTCTGTTTCACTGGATTTTTTTTCTTCAAATATTGGCATCCAAATTATGTTTCAGCTTGCTGAACTCTGGTAAACCGGAAATTGAATTATTGACTATATGATCGCATGGACGATGATCATTATTTATGAGAGACATGAATAAATCATTTTTTTTTTTTGTGACATATCTTCTACGTTACAATATATGTATATACATATAATACATGTACTGCGTATATGAAGCATGAATGTCAATACGGTGGATTTTTTGTATGTACAGGCAATTTCAAAGGAAAAATATTAAAGATGATGACTTGATGAGTTTCTCCTAAGTCGTTACATCTTTTTTTTTTCATTTATTGAATACAGAACACTATTTACAAACAGGTTACAACGACTAAGGACGTTAAACGTATGTTTCTTAAAATTATTTTCACGTTGTGCATAATAAGCCTAGAGGTAAGCTCACCATGTATAACAAATGCGTACAAGGTAATTATAGGTTATTTTGTTATACATTAATAGTTAAGCACGATTCGACAATGACCACTTTTACCTAATATACAAAAATATACAGTTGCACGTATCTTATCATATTTTATACGTATCTTAAAGAGGTTCAATGATATATTAATATATTAGACATTTAATATTTAATTATAAATATATCTGATTTCACGGAAACAGACAAACTTGGAATGTATTTGAAGTTGCAAAAAAAGGAATTTCGCAAAATTGCATTAAGAGATAATAAAAAAAATTAATTGATTACATGTAAGTAAATATTTGTAAAAAATGGAAACGTTTAGCAAAAAGCGACGATACGAAATTACAATGGGCTCAGAGATTCGTCGTCACCTTATGGTAAATTCCAAAAAATTTGTGTCCAGGAAGTGAATAAGATATTTAATTGAAAAATATATAAAATCATCACGGATTATCACCGAAGCTGTGAGCATTTTATTGGTTGAATTAATTTTATTATACAGATAATTATAGCGCGTCATTCATTGTACACATATTTATAGACGGTTATTTCGTTTTTTAAAATATTTTACACCCATGATTAATTATGTTTAATTAACAATCATTTCGACACAATACTTGCGCAATAAGACTTAAGTTATTAAATTGCACATTAGTACTACAACGGTGTTATTATGTATTAACGCTATAAGCGATATTGTTTATGTACGTATATGTTGTAAATTCCATCAATTTATATCTAAACCACTCATTAATTCTTCGGATTTTTTTCTTTTTAATAGACATCACAATTGTCTTTCATTAGTGACCTTATTAATTATATTATAAAAAGGATCACTGTAAATTTATTATATGGGACATAAGGCCCATGCAATATTGTACAATCGCTAATTACACTCAAATACAATTTTGTTTTCTACGTTAATGGGGGACAGTAAACATATATTTCAGAATCCATCTGTATCAATGAACCCTTTGTTAGCCACTTCCTAACTTCCCACTAAATCTAATTTAAATATATTGTATCATGTTTGGTTTTTATGCTTTACTGAAAAAGTTATTCATAACAGATGTATATACATCGAATATCAAATTATGCATGATATTTATTAATATTCAACATTAAAAAGACAAAATGGTAATTTTAAAGTCAGAAAGAAAAACTTATATTGCCTAAATCTATTTATACCTGTTCCCTTTGCGTGACACTTTTTTCAGGCTTTTTAAATACAGCTAAAGAATTAAAAATCAAAGTTAAACGCTGTTATAGATTGTGAATGGAGAAATGTAGACGGAAAGATTTCAAAGAAAAATAGTACTGTATGCATTGACATATCCGAGCTTTAGGTTTGTATTTTGGCTTTCAAGATTTTCGAAATAACAATCACGAAGTGCATAATTTTTTGCTAATGAAAAAATTATGCTATTCAAATCTTTAAGTGTGCTTTTGAAAAATCCTCCATAAGTAAGATATCACTCAATCCTAACTTGACAACTTGTTGATAGAACATAGATTTAATTAAGTAATTGAAGTAAATAGCTAACAAATCTACGATACGAACGATACGAACGATACGAACTATGTTTCATATCGGTTTACATCTACTTTTTAAAATATATCTGTAATACGTGATACAGTTTATTGCACACCTATCATATACTATTTCCCAAAAGTATTCGATTTGCATCTCCAAACATGAGACTTCCAAAGGTTTGATTTCCCGCACGGATTACGAAAAGTATGCGGTTTATATTTCAGCCACTTTGCGACTTGCAAACAGTTTTTTTAGGGGACGAAAAGTAATAGCGAAAGTATTCTACCGTTTCAGAAACGTTGTTATGCTTGTCTATTCGGCAGCTTCTCTTTTTTCATTTTCCATTGATTAACACAAATTGAATTGAAAACGCAGCTGACAATGAAACGAGGACAAAAAATAGTTAATGAAAATATAACAAAGCACGAAAACCAATAATTAGTGAATAACTAGTTGCAGTACACAATGATATTATTAACCTTAAATTTTACAGGTAAAAAGTATAAGGGTATAAAATTATAAAAAAGTGTTATCACAAAATAATATGTAACGCCTCACTATCTAGATAATAATATTTTATCTATACGTATAGCATTTCGCGTTTGAGCAACCATCCATGAAGGACGACAATTTTTGAATCGCCGTCCACTTCGAACTTAACGATCCTCTAATATCTATATGCTTAATGTATATACTTAGCGAGTAATATTAAGAAATGAATAGATTAGACTGCGATCGTACGAGGGTTGACTTTGTTTCTCTTCAAACTTCATCGAGCGAACCAATCACGTATCTCCATTTCCGAGGGATGAATCAAAAGTTCCATGCGGTCTTGTATAACTGTTTCAATATATTATGGATTTTAGTTTAGCATCCCCAAGGACAAAACTCCTTTTGAACGAATATTATTTGACAGCTGGTTCAATAATGACATCTCATTTCAATTCAAGTGGTACATCGATTTCTGGATACAATGGAAGCTCAAGGCTCACTGAAAATTTCTCGACAAGAAACGTCGCAAAATATGTAAGTGTATTCCTTCGTAGAATTTATATTTCCCGCGATCTACGAACCTGCCTGCAAATTGGTACATATTGATTTACAGTAGGTATTACTGGCCTGAATGAAATGATAACGACAAAAGCCACACGTGATGTATGAGAATTGGAATGTTCATCGATGCATTTTTTATTGGCATCAATCTAGGGTCGTTCAGGTTTTTTTTTTATTACCTGGATAAAAGCTCACTGTACTAGAATGACCCTGTTGGGTGTCAAATCGGGACTGTGAAGGCTGGCGCTGCCCCTTGAACTTCCACCTCCGCCATTACTTCCGGTGACACTTTCAGTTCTGGCGTGTTGCGTATAAGCAACGTTTGTTAAACCCCCAGGTCGACGAGGGGTACGCCTAGCTGCCATTCGCACCCCATCCTCGCAGGCTCGTGTTAGACGTCTGTTGGAAAATCGAAAGTAACCACGTAATCTTTCTTTAGCTGATCTGGAACATAAATAAAAAAAGACAAGTTACCTTTATTCAAATGTATTTTCCGAAACCTTTTTGGAATATTACTTTTTATAATCATCTCCCATTAAATTAGTTCGCTCATCGACAAATATACATATATCCCAAGAAATTTTTCCAAGGACGAGACACGTGTTCGTCAGGTTATACATAAAGTATCGTGTCGTCAAGCTATTTTGAAGAGGGTCGAGAGTATCCCAACCTAGGGATGATCTTGAGGGTGCAAATTAGGTTCTAGATGGCGGGTATGACTCAACAGCTACTTACTCAAATCCAATAAGGTATTGATCGAGATGCTGTATAGATTCATCGATCGGTCTTATTATCCATATAATTGAGAATCATATAATTATCTCATCCCCTAAACAGCCTTTAATACGTAACCGACTGAAACTGCCGTTCGACATTAATCAGTACGCCATGTGATCAAGGCTATTTACATATTAACCAAATATGTATTTATATAGTATTGATAATAATCCACTCTCCAGTCTGAAGATTAGAGTGATCAATGAAATTTAATTTAATTATCTAATGCCTGATGTGAGCTTAATCCTTTCTGTTTCTCTTCTTAGCTTAGCCAAGCTAAGATAAAAAAGGGGTAAGGATTTGGAGATTTGTTTCTCAATAGAAGCACAAGAAAAGTGACACCTTCAAACCTTCCTGTATAGTGATGAAAGTGGATGGGTACATGTAGAGCCTTCTGAGAAGCTACTAGGAGACTTACGGTTTCTGAAGGAAACGATGCTTAGGTTCCTGATGATACTTAAAAACTTATCCATCTTACTTTACAGGAAAGCCGTCGTATCTGTTTTTCGTGCGTTCAACGTTCCTGGAGATATCGCAGGGTGCTTTTTTATCTCAAAACGATGGTATGATGCGTTCAGGTGCTTTGGGGAAATCCGCAATTTTTTTTATCAAATTTCAACGAGAGGACGATAAAAATACAGGGACTCAGGAACAATATTTTTTTTCCGGTACGGAATACATTAACGTGGAATATTCGGTACCATGAGAGTTACGAGCCTCTTTGTAATTACTGAATACACATAAAAATATTTATATACAACGTACATTATTTTTAGGGTGAAATTTATGTTATGTTAAGTTCGTGCTACAAAAATTTAAGCTAATGAATTTTACATCTTCCTTGCATAAAATTAACTAATATTACTAAAAATACGGTTACTCGCCCTTTATATGGACGTTAAAGACTCTTGGTAATACGTCAGCTTTATGAAGGATATAACTGTAGTTATAGATATATTTATTGTCTAAATGAAAATTAACGTCATTTTGATAAAATAACAGTTGCTAGTGAAACTTTGTTCAAACTTAAAGATCTCGGGTACAAATTTTAAGATACGCACTTGATCACTGGCAGATTTAGAATATTTCTTCAAGTCTGCAACTATTGTAGTTACGTTTAGTCACATGAGTTAACATTCGAAGAGTTAAGGGTTCGCTCACAAAAGTAAATATAAATGTCTTCTAATTTGTTTGAACGCGGAAACCGCTCGGGAAAATAATGTTATTTATCTTACTAGGTACACGCAGGATTAAATTATGTACTCTGAATACAACAAGTTTTATATTTATGGATGGCTCATGATTAATGTAAGACATTAATCAAACTACGTCACGAATGTAAAATGTACTCAGATATAGTATTTCGTGTTCTGTTATGTGTATAAGAAAATTTGCAGCTGTATGGATTTGTATATTTAATATCTGGTTATATCACAACGTAGGATATATTACGTCAATATAGATATATGTACAATATATCGAGCTTAATTCGAACATCAATATCTACGTCATGGTATTACTCGATGCACTTTGCTTGCGAGAATATGCAATTCGATATAAAATAAGATGAATAAATAATGCTATTGATGCATTGATTAAACTTCGTAATGTACAGGGTTATTCAGAAATACTATATCATCTGGACAATCAAATGGACGAACTGTAGTGGGCGGAACCTTGTACCGAATTTTGATGAATTTATTTTACCTAAAATACAAAAAAAAAAGAGTTCAAATGGCTCCTCGTAATGATACTCTCGCATCAGGGAAATGAATTTCTTCGTTCCCTGGGAATAATTTACTAGCTGTGAATATATTATAAAAAACTTTAAATTGCCATTTTAGTCAGACTGTAATTTTCTCTAACAGCGAATCACCACCTCGTTATAAAATTTGTTCGTTTGTTATCATGAACAAAAGATGAGCAATCTAGTTTGGTTGAATGCAACAAGTTTTTTAATAATGATATCAAGTATTGTTACATGTTGTGTTTTATTATTTTAACACAGACAACCACTTTTTTATAAAAATTTCAAAAGGTCGTACTTTAACCATCCACTCCAACAATGCGCGTAGGTTAAAGGTTGAAGGTATAGAATGTTAGGTGGGTTTGAGCTCGTGCGATGCATAAAAATGGTTTATCCGGTATACTGAGTTCCTTCTGTATTGTAATCTTGAAGAGACAAATAAAATATGTATAGATGAGAGTATATGAGGGTCCAGTGCGTAGAGTATTGGAAGAGGGATGAAAAATGTTAGGGAGCTATATCAAAGTAAATTTCCCAATAAATAAGGATATTCAGAGGACTATCTAAATCCGATAGAAATCCTGAAAATTGTCATTCCATTTTAATCTTAAAGCAAAACTTATTTCATCTTCGGTCAATGAGAGATGAAAAATGTTCAATAATGAATTCTCCTATCATTCGCGTTACTTCACAATATGGATGTGAATATATGATAAATGACGTACCGAATAAAAATATATTAATAAAAAATACAAAATTTATACATATACATATATTTTTAAATAATTTAATATAATAAATATACGGTTAATCATGAGTAATCTCAATTACTGCCAACAATGGTTTTAAACTTTGATACACGATTCAAGTCAATATATTATACAATCCAATTGATTCAATGACAAAGCGATTTGATAAAATGATATTACTAATTTTCAAAATGCATTATCAAATTAAGTCACATGGTACTAGGCAATTAATCATTTGACTCATTCACTCGATCAGAGTCTCGAAACGTATATTAATCGTATAATTTATTGACATGGAGTCAAAGCTGAAAACCATTTATGACTAACGTTGCACGTCAATCGATCAATTTCCTTTATCATTTTCATCTATCTCGACGTCAAGCCAATTCTGTATATATAGTTGGAAATGGAATAACGTCCAGATATAGGAAGTTCAAGTATAACATACAAACTGATGAACTTGCAAATAATATCAACCGTTGAAGTAAAATTTACCGTTTTTTTTTTTTAAATACGGTATCTCATAAAAGATAGCTATTTTTATAAATATAATAAAGAATATATATGGAAACGATTTAGTTCCGTTCGCTTATGGTGGATTATTCGAGCTTATACTTACTGATGACCGAGTTTCGTAATCTCAGGAAGATCAATGCCTGAGTTTCCCAAACTATGCGATGGTGGATATCCATAAGTTTGAGTTCTACGTTATCATGGATCATTGATAGAATTTATATGGAAACTACATATAATCAGTAGAACTTACGATAATACCGAATTAACAACAGGCAGTTCATATACTGGATATTCATTACCTGAAGGAACTCTTATAGTTCGTGGTGAATTTCGATCATTGTTTTTCAACTCCACCAGAGGATTAGACGAAAAAATTTATGAAAAACGAAAAAAAAAAGATCGCGAAAATTTTATTAAAAATTATTAAGTTTTGGTAAAAATGTTTCTTTGGATCATTATTTCGTATAGCTGATACAGTGCTAACGTTATGATAACACGGTAGCTTGATAATAATAACGATAAAACAATTTTTTAACAATTAAACAGAAACGATCAATGCATTGCTGAATGTCTGTCATCCATATTATTCGTTTATATAAATATTCCTCATGCATTTGAATGCACTTTAAAGTTTCATTATTAAAGTGCATTAATATATTCTCACGAAATAAACAAGTAACGAGTTTATTTCCAAGAGTTTAGGAATTACTATTTAAAACAGTTGCTGACATACATATATATATTTTTTCTCATACTTTGACATTCCCAAACGCTGTGCATTAACAGCAATAAAAATACTTTTCGTAACATTTTCACGAATTCGACGATTCGTTTATTATTAATTTAATAATGATGACAGCCGTTTTCTTGCCGTCAACATATTTTTACTACATAACAATTATGAAATTTAATTTGCAGATAGTGATACCCACACTATCGGCACACCCTTGTGTACGTACGTGAATACAAATCTACGTTAAAATACTTGCTATTCGCACCGGCACCACCCTGAAGGGTTGCGTAACTCGGCAACCGTCACCTTCGGGTTACCGGGTGAACGAGCATCCACCCTCCCGTTTCATTACGCCAAGCGGGTTCCGTATTCTCCCCATAGTCTAATATTAGTCCCTAGTCTCTAAAAACGTGAATTATAGATAGTAATGATTATGGCATATGTAATTTTATAGTTTTTTTCAGACTTTGTTAACTCTTCTTTGTATTATATAGTCCAATTGCCGCGTCAAAAAGGTAATTTTAAATATTCAGTTCACCGTGTAAATTAGTTTGAGATCCAACAATATTTTCAATTCATCGAGAAATTTGACACTGCTTATTAATACCTTTATAACCCATCAGTTAAGTCTCAAAGTATTGACAGAGGCCGAAATGAGCTTTACCAATCAATCGCCGAAATCAAATTATTCAGTCGGTTGATAATTCGCCTTCAACAAAATAATTTGGCTCGGGTTCAATATAATCCATAATCATAAATTCTTATCCGATCGATTCCACACTGTAATTTGCCATCAAGGCGTTTTTGGATCGAAATCAGAAAAAAAATCGTGTGTTGCTGGTTGTTAACCTGGCCAAGCCTTGTACCTAGTCAAGAAGAACGCATTAGAGTGAGTTTATCTACCCAGTGATATAGTTATATCAGCACGGTAGTTACCATCCCAAGCACACATGAGGATATAGAGAGGGAAAGCTGGCTTTTTTTAATTACGGACCATTAATCACACGACACCCCTTGATCGATGCATTATTCATACAGATGCATATATATGCAATTGGGTCAGCCAGCCGTGCTAGGGACATTAAAGCTACCAAATCCAGAAAACAAAGAACCTCTGTCTGCTCGACCCGAATTCCTCTTTTCTTTCTTATTCTTCAACAAATCCTCGGCGTATGAAAGTAGCGAGAACATTTTTTAAGAACTTACTCAAATTGTTCCTTAGTTTTGTAGGTCCGGGAATTGTTGAGTACTTTTCCTGTATCTGGTACTTTTTCTTTTCAACACTTCACATACCTGCTCATCTGCCAGGATGCGTAAAGAGCTGGCGTCGTGACTGTCGGCATAAAAGCAACCCAAACGAACATCGTGAAAGTGATGTCGAAGTGGCCGCTATTCTCGTACGTTTCCATTAGTGCCAACTTTGCCAGTCTGTAACGAAAAAAAAAGCAGCTTGTTACTTTTTCACATTTCTCTTGATATTTTTGTAAAAATAAAGACTTGATTTTACGCGGCGCTATCGCCTTGGATTATACGGATCCATATGTGGAATGACGTATTCGGATCGTGCATATAATTAATAATTCAGGAATATTGTACCAACTTAACTTGGTCCTCCCTCTTGATTTCTAAGGTAGAACCAACTGCAGCCCGTAGCAATACTCCCGAGTAATCATATACATATGTTGATACCTATATTATATGCTCAATGTGTTAATATTGGGCTTAACCCAAGTTGAGGAATATTATTCAGAGGGTATGCAGAAGTGGCACTCTAAGACAAGCACATATTATATTGCATGTAGATTAGCTTAGGCATTCATGAAAATCCAGACAGCCATATGGATGCAAATGATGATTATGCGAAGCTGTGATAATACGGAAAATCGAGATTTTACGTGTTTTACGAATTTTAAATATGTGTATAATAATATTGAAAATGGAAGAGAATAAATTATTCTCGATATAATGTAAAATACGATATTAATCAGCGAATATTTTTTATGCATGCAATTTTCGATATATTTTTAAAAGCAATTCGTATATGAACTGAAGAAAGTTATTGCTTACTTTGAGATTATGTTATAGAATAACAATTTTTTCGTTATATCTCTAATATAACCATACATCAAATTTAACATTAAATGTTATATCGAGATATGGTACGTAAGGATCCATTTATTAACGCATGAAAAGTACCCTATTTTCCTTAAACCGGTTTTCCTTTTTGAAAAATCGCTCAACCTACATAATGGCGAATTTCCTACCGAGGTACCTGCATGTATCGAATATGGATATTCGATAATTTCAAGGAGCTTGGAGTTTTACGATGAACTCATAATCTTATGAGGCATTTCAACCATATGTTACCTTATATCAAATTTTATTATAAGAAATATCCATTCATCGTCTGCACTGAGAAAATACATATACCCCATAAGTATTTGACTTAGCTGAAACCCACTTTTGTCAACGGTCACATTTAAGCAGATATAAATTAATTTAACCATATATATTCATTTCGATTAGAGTATAAAAGACTTAAAGTTTCTATACTTCACTGCCAAATTTCCTGCTTCGATTAATTGTACACTTTTTCATGAGACTTGCAATTATTTAAAGTACCTTAATGGCAATATCGTATCTGGAATTGTTCATATGGCAAAGTAGAGGGCTGGCTTTCCTACACTTTCCTACAATGAGGATAATGGCCACTTCATGAAGTACATCAAGCACTAAGTGGATTGCATTTAAAAATACAGAGAACGATTCAAGTTTTTCATTAAATCGTATCAAGTTTGACCTTTTAAAGTTCTCAAGTAACTGTGCACAGATTACACTTTTTTTATACTTTCAAATCCATCCTATAAAAGTTGTTATCGTTACATGCCATTTTGAAGTTCCCATACTAATTTTCATATTAACATGAGAAGTCTTGTCGGAAACATTGCCACTTCGCACTTGAAAGATATAATGATTTAAGTCTTCTTAAAGGAATTTTAGTAAAGTTTCCGAAAAAAATCAGTGATACTCTCCACTGTATGTAATGAGTTTTACAATTTTTTGTTCATTACAAATAGTTAATATTTACTTGTTATATAATGTATACTTGTTTAATATAGTAATAGAGGATATAAAGTTCGTGTCATTGAAAATGACGAAGCTCAATTTGGTATGGAGACCAAAGTTTTTTTTCCTACTTATGCCACGATTTAGCTTATCCTAATGAACTGAGCTTTTAACCGAAAGCTCCATTTTGTATGCCACCTCTTTAAAAGAAATGGTTGACACGTAAATAAGCCTTTGGCTAATATCCGATGTGTTTTTAGCAGCGAGAAAATAAAAGTTTCCATTAATGGTTCTATACGAGAAACCTAAAAGTATAAAAATATATCGTACAATATTTCTGAATAGGTACTGCTGAACAATTTATACAGACATTTCATTGACGCATTATTTCTAGCTGGTTTAATGCGTACAAAAACATGAGGTTTCTGCTATGCTTTTAGTTTAAGAACGTTCTAAAGAATTTTGGCGAATTTGTAAAATTAAAAAAAAAACAATCAGAATCAACGTTATTTACAGTATTTTTAATATATTGTTATTAGTAAAAACATATGCATGAATCTACAATCTCAGATATTTCAAATTGTGATTTTAAAAAAGAATTTTTGAATAATATTTTTCAGCTGATGTAAATATGGCATTGGCCACAATCACAATCACATTTTTTTTTTCAAAAATTTATATAACGAACGTTGCTATGATAATGATAGGACTAGGTCATAGATTTAAATGTATAATTAGGATTAATTAAGAAAAGTGCTTTAGCGGGTATAATGTCGACAGAAGAATGACGGATTCCATTTGGTCTCATTTGGTTTTCTTGTAGCATCAAGTTATCCTCCTTTCTTCCATTAGGTTTTTCGATCCACCGAGTAGAAATAGTACGCTTCACTAATTTTCCCCAGAGTCTACTAGAACAAACCCTTCTCAAAATCTATCCGAGTCTTAAATCGGAAAGGACGCGTAAGCGACAATATCGGAAAATCTTTAACAGTGCTTACAACGTATATCAATATAATGTATATATACATAGTATAATCTGAAGATTAAAAAAAATAATTTATTGAATAAATAACGTTATTCAAAATAATTTAACAAAAGAAAAATAATTAGTACCAAATTAATATTTTTATCGATTAACACTAAACCTACCAGAGCGGTCAAATGACCACTTTTGAGACTTTAATCAAAATTGTCAAATTCCAGGTTTTTATTTTTCTTGAACTTACTGCACGACTTTTCCTATAATATATAGCTGTTTAATTTTTCAATATATATTTCTCTTCTTCTTTCGTTTTTCCTGATAATAATATGTACCCCACCGTTGTCTACCCTGAGCGGTCTTTTGACCGCTAGAATATATATGAAATTGTATGAAGTTATCTGCATTGAAATCTCAAACTTAACACAAAAACAGTAGTTTTGCTAGAAAATGTCATCCGATTGTGTTCTAGGAAAACGCCATGTGCTTACAGTTTGTTTTATGCTGGGTACAGAGCGACTGCTGGTAACTCACGAGGTGAGGCAAAATAGCGATCATTCAAATTAGATTACTGGCTCTGTACGCGGCATTATAAATATTTGCGACGTGACTACTTCTATTTATAATAATAAAATAGGCTACAAACTCCGGGTAATAAACAAATAAAAATAGTAAGTACTAATTTCTGCTGTAAGTACTAATTTCTTTCTTCTAATTTTAGTAAGTACTAATTGGTGAATTATTCAAATACAAATTCAAAAATTTAGCTCTAAAATGTCAATGCAAAGGAAATTGCTGGAAGAAATAAATAATATAAGCGAACTATGCACTGAAGTAGATGAAGAAGAAAATTCTGGGAGTGAGGATAGTATATATGATCCATTAGACACTGACTCTGAGCTATTCGACACGGATAATGAGGAAGAGACCATTGTGAACACGCGTAGGGGACGAAAAAGAATGAGATTGTTCTCCAGATCCGAAGATAAATGTGAAGAAAACAATCAGAATATTGAAACTTCAGTTGATGGAACTGTTTGGCTATAAATGCTTGAATTTTATATAAGCAAACAACTGGAGAAAGGATATCGCGACAAGAATTTTTATTTCAGTTGGCAGAGGAACTTGCCACCGAATACCGCGATATACATGAACAAGAAAAAATGGAAAGTATGGCGAAAACTTCAGCAGATTCCACTACAATTTCTGAAAGACGAAAAACGTGTCAAATTGGATATTGCAAAAAAAATAAAACCATAAACATTTGTTCTACATGTAAAAAATATGTTTGTGGAAAATGTTTACGGGAGAGACCCGTCATGTGTAAAAAGTGCGACAACGAATAAATTTTATTTTAGTTTGAATAAGGATATGCATGTAAATTACTGAAGTAACATATAATTTTTCAGTTTCGAGCCTTCTTTCTAAAAATGTACTCCTAAAGCCTGAAAAATAAATGTTCTTTAATTATTATATGATAATTATTTTGTGTTTATTGTTTATGCTAAATTCTGTATTAATTACAATCAACTGGAAAAGACTATAATGTTTATTTCAAAAGCGATCATTTGACCGCCATCGGTAGAAATAGGTATATATAATATGTCGGTAGGTTTAGTGTTAAAAGAGGAGATCCATTTTGTGTACCAGCATTATATCTATATAAAGTATTTCTATCGTCAGACAAATAAATTATCAGATAACTTTCAGACCCAGAATGGGGACCATGGGTCCTAGAAAGGATAACGTAAGCGGATAAGCCTTTGCTTGTCCAATCTGATTAATGTAGCTTTTCGTCATTAATAATGAAAGTAGGTACCTGCTTGCGTGAAATCACTGAGCCCCGTGAATTTTGGTGGAAAAGTGGATGATTAAAGGAAGGTTATCAGAACACGCAATTCCCAATGGTGAATTTCCTTGTAACCCTTAATACGAAATACCCCAAAAACCCCTCGTAGAGATACCTAATTTTCTCACACGCTCTGCCAAAGAAAATATATGGGAAAAAAATAGAACGCATGAAATCCGATATATCAAGTATGATTTTGACGCCTAAAGAAGATCCAACGAAGAAACATAACGGGGATATATGAAAAAAAAAAATATTTTTAGAAGTATCCTGTTTTTCCAAAAATAGATGGGTAGAGTGTAATGTTATCGCTATACCAAGGAAAGAGGAAGCGCGTGGTACTTTTTGGAAAAAGGAAAAGATAATTGATAGAAGCTCTTTTCAATTTTTCATGAGATTAATTTGTTACGAGACTATTTTAACGATACAAAAATTGCGATACCACCTTATATAAGAATATATTGTTAAAAGAGATGAGAATAATTTTTGTGTTTTAATTGTTATTCAATTTTGAACTTGTTTTCCGTGACAAAAAATGTATTAATAACAATATCAAAAGATTCTACATCCGGCGTAGGTAATTTTATGTATAATCTGTGTTTGTTAAGAATTTTCGAGTAAGAATCCGGCAAAAAATTTGAAGAAAGCTGATTGATAAGTTTTCTGTGAATTGTTATGAATTTTTAAAAGGGCACTTGTTTCATAGCTTTGATCTTGTTGATGAAAGCGTAATAAAACGATCTTTGACTCCTTAGTACTTCTCCCCTTGTTACTTACATTGTTTTGAAATATATTCAAAGAAACATTTGGATGAATTCAATGGACAAATAAAATCGAGAATATAAAATTTTTAAGAGAATCTTTGTTATTCCTTTATGCCAGCAATAAATTGTTTAACGTGGAGTACCGATAACGTGGAAAATTTTGCAAATTACCATGACAACGCGAACAATTTCTCATGTGTCGATTCATTAGAGTATTTTCGTCAAATTTAATATCAATTCAAAAAAGGCCTCTCACGCAATACTTATACGTAAAGATAGTGAAAACGGGCATTTCCCCGTGATTTGTTTTATTCTTGTTCGCAGAAGTCCAATATCGGAAATTCTTGTTATATGAATATTGGAGCTAAAAATGAAATTTCAAGCAATGCAAAAAGAGTGAAGAGTGAAAAGGGTGAAAAAAAGACGAGTGTCAAAACTGGCAATTCGATATTCAACGTTCTCATGTACCGAATGACGAAACATGTAACATGGTAAGCGTCAATTTTGATATTGGTCAAACAAATTGGTTCACGAATCCATAAAAAATATCACGTTGCCGTAAGGCTTCTTAAAGCCAGCTTTCATAAAGGATTCGAATGTTATTCGAAATCGTCTGTATATGCTTACAACTACTATTTCCAATTCGCAGTATCAAAAATACTAGCAAGAAATTCGATGACCCATCAAATATTTCAATTGGTTAGTAGTTCGTTGAAAACTATTCCAATTCCGAAATTCATGAAAAATTGTATTTCTCTTTACGAAATTCCGAACCCTCCTTTTCAATCTTCCATTCGCAGACGTGTGTTTATATAAAAATAAAAAATAAATGTTTTATTTCTACGTGCAGCTTCGCGTGAAAAATACATCTACATACTGTAAGGATTTTCCCGTAATAAATAGACAACTCAGCTTAAAGAGTGTGAACATTTATTATTATTATTTCTAACAGAACAGTCGTGGCTGGACGTTCGTCTCCTTCTCTCATTTGGGACTGACCACTTCCCGTTGCTTCCGCTATATGCAGCTCGGCGCTGCAGTCGTTCCCACGCACCGAACGTTCCTCACATTACGGCGCGTATTACAATTTGAAAATCGCCTCACAATACACTATATTGTTTTCCCGTATGCATTATGTAAAACCGCGAAACACGACCTTATGTTTCCATTATCCAAACTTTCGTTAATCCAAACAATGCCCGGTCCTAATTGATTAGGATAAACGAGGCTCTTCTGTAATTCCAAATAAACAAGCGTCCAATTGCCTTGCAACGTGTTACAGGCAGCCTGGAAACTGCTTTCATGTATAAATTGGAGCCTTTGAATATTCCCGCAAAAATAGCACTCTACTGTCACGTTCAATGCGAAGTTTGTATTTACACGCCAGCTTTTGCCTTTATTGAAAGACATTAAAGAGCCGCTCCAAACGCTCGGCTGCTACGACGTGCTTTATAAAATTCCCAGACAGCCAATCAGCCAGTACATATAGAAACCATGTCTAGAACTTTGGTTTAAATACATTTTGGGAAAGGACACTTTTTCATGCGAATCTGCCATGGGCGTTTTTTTCCCTATTGTTCAAAATTCATAAACTTTCGAAATATACCTATACGGCACAGAAGCTCAGTTTTCAGACGTAGATTCGAATTGTTTGACTCTTCTCTTATGGGTGCCGACTTTAGCTGATGACTCAAGGTAAATGGAGGCTTAGTGAATGAGCGATGAATTGAAAGCGTTAGCGAATGTTTTCGTTGTTGATTTCCATTTCACGAGGGTCTGCTCTCGATAACTTTTAGAAAACGAAACTAAAGTGTAGAAGGTTATTGAACGAGAGCAAGTAAATGTCGAAAAAACTTCGAGGCTTTTTTTCGAATTGACACTTGATACTTTGTAAGACGGTACTTAAGTGGGAATAAGTTTTACCGAGAAATCCAAAGATCTTTTCCCACGTTAAACATACTTCGTGTTTACCTGCTTGCAAAAGTTGGTAAACAGTTGATAACGTCTGACAAAAAAAAAGCTTTCATGTGAAGATCTAGCAAAAACTGGCGTCCGGTATCGAACTAATGGCATTTCTTTTCTCTTATTACATTAGGAGCCCAATAATTCCGTAAACTGTGTAAGTCGACGCAAAATTAAATTTTGAAAGTTCAAGATAAGCGAGGGCGATTATAGGGTTTATCTCTAATTTATCTTAATTTTAAGAGATCGTGGACCACAGTCATCATGGATGTCCATGAAGTAGGGTATTGATAAGAAGAGAACGGACATTAATTGAACGTCTGGTGGTTGACACTCGTTGAATTGCAAATTAGATTCAATTACATTGCGTAGGTTGAATTTATAAGAAATTAGTTTTTTCAGTTAAATCTCTATTGCCGCGAACGTCTCCAAATGTAAGACCATTAATTAAATATTAAGTATTGAAAAATTCCCAAACACGTTTCTTTGTCTTTCTCCGTTTTTTCTTTTTCTACGAAATTCAAAGCTTCTATATTCCTTGGGATAAAATATCTATTTCAATATATAATTTTAAAGAGTCTCGGTAAATCGAATTGAATGTTACGAGACTGTACCGTACGGTACGATCAAGAAATTATTTGCAAGTCTGATACTGGATACGTAACCAAAAGCTGTTCTTTTGTGAACTCAATCTGATAGAACAATTTATTCTAATGTATTGCATAATATTTATCTTATGTATTCGAAGATTGATATTCGCCAATGACATTTGACCATAAGGCCTAATCCACACGGGCTAGTACAGACCCAACCCTACGACCTGGACGGATCCTCAATTCCCATAATGAAATTTCTACTAGCGAAAGAAAGAGTATATAGAAGACGAAAATTCTTCATTATTATTTTTTCCGGAATTGGCCTAGGAAGAAAATTAGAGTTAACGCAATTCGATTATATATAAGAATCTGTAGCAAATCATACAAACGCCTTGTATACAAGAGACCACCGTCGGTAAATAAATTATTTCCTGTCTAATTCCTTTTCTGGTCCTATATATTTCACTGTATTGCCTCCGGCAAAGGACCCAACGATCAATTTTCCACTAATTCTATGTACCGCATGTAACAATACATACGAAAACAAATTTAGTGATACAAACTGAAATATTCAAATATCTAAAATTTCCACAATTTACGCATCGCTCTCAATTATTATTTTTTAAAAAGACGCAGCAATATTAAAACTTAAAAGATTTTTCGTTATGAAATATACTATGCATATTTAACTAAATTTCATCCTAACTAATGTATAACAATCCGACGTATATGCAATATATAAAATAAATATACAGGGTGTTTCATGAGAGGTTACAGATTCGGGTGTGGCTTAATTTGATCAGTGACAAAGCTTCCTACAATTTTAACTGAGTCCTACCTGAATGTTATTATCAATTGGCCAATGAGCTTAATCAACGACCAATCACATTCACCATAGTTCAAATGGAGCCACACCCGAGTCCATAGCATCACTTGAATTACCCTGTATAATCGAATGCAATCGAGTGCCATAATAATTTAACGCGTGTAACTGTATATAAATATAACAGTACCATGTGTGTTTAAACAGTAGCCTTTATTCAAATCTCAAGACAAAGTATATATTACCAAGATTCAACATTCGTATTCCTTGAGTATGCATAAGGGCTGCGGAATGATGAATTATTAAAAAGGAAGGTGAGTAAGGGTGAATTGGCGAAAGGTATAAAACTGAGGCGAAAAGCGGAGAAAGGCAGACAGACACTCGCAAACGCGAATTTGACTTCCATACCCAAGGAAAGAGAAATGCTACAATTCTCACAAGGGTTTTATCACCGTAAAAGCAGATAAATCCACCCTATGTGGATATACGATCGTGTCTATCGTAAACGCTTTGTCGCATCCTCCATTCAGAAGTCATTCACGTTCAAAGATTAACGAACTTCCTAAGATACCATGTATGCCCGAACTGACCCTTATAAATATAGCTGCTAATGATACAAAAAAAAAGGTCTAATACTTAAATAATTTCCTACATAAATTATATATACATAAATCGTACGAAAAGATTATTTAAATATATTATAACGAATTTTTCATATTTACAATATTTTAGTGATACTCGAAGGGCCTTTCAAGTTTTTACAGTTTCATTAGGTCACGCATGGTAAATTTAATTAAAAATTAACTTACCGCAGCACCATTAATGGACACAGGCATATAGCGTAGACCGATACCATGAAGATTAAATATTTTTGCGTACGTTTCTCTTTTCGCACGTCCAATTCTGCGTTGTAAAGATCGTAAGCTGCTGTCAAGCCAGGCAAACCGACTGTACCGCCTGTGCAGACGCTACCACTTTCTCTCTTACCATCGCGAGCAGATCTGAAAATAAAAATCAAATATTGCGAGGAGATCAAAAAGGTACGAAATAAATATATCAGAGATGAAGAGCAACGTCTTTCATCTTATTCCATGAAGTGGTTTTTGATCTTTCTCTCTTTTTTTAAAAAGACTACCAGAACAATTTTTGCAATTTTTTCACTCCATTTCACTGTATTTTAAATCTATTGTATCATCCATATGTATGTGTTCCTTCGCTCTATTGTCAGTGCACGAGTTGCAAGTAAAATATTGCTCGAGCAGACTTTGGATAGTGTCGTTGAAAGATGGAGGGAAGTCAGGAGAACGAGAAAGGCATACTTAGAAATCTGTAATGCGGAGATGAAAAGGAAGTGAGAGTAAAAAGGAAAAATAGAAGAAGAAAAAGAAAAAGGAAATTTAGCCCGAGCGTCAGGACGACAAATTGGATTACTGTATTCCGTAAATTCGCACTGTCCTACATTCTCACGAGATGCTGGAATGCATTTATGCAGAAATGCATTCATGCACTCATTTTTCCCATGCGGTTAACACGTGTCGATAAAGGCAAAATATTCATACTGGTGAAAAATATTTAATATTTTTCTCACGCAAAGTATATTTGGTCGTCGATAATGCATCTTCAATGTAATACTGGTCTAATAAATTTAAACGTGACGTTCGTATTACATAATACATTTTTCATTGTCTGGAATTCAACGTCATTTCCATTAATGGCAAAATTATAGCTTTGAGATCGCGAAGTTAGTAGCTCCTCGGGCTTATTTATCCTGATGAAAGTTTGTAAGCTTGAAAACTTTCGCAACTTTTTTTTCTGCTTTCGGCTAGAGCATCTTTCAATTGGGTTTATTATTATTGTTTATTCTTGTTTCCCAGAGATCAAGAGCTTTTTCGTCGGTTGAAAACAGCTTAACGAATCTCTTGTTGAGGTTGCGGTCAGTTTCTCAGGGGACAAAGGCGTAGAAGCAGACACTCGTTGAACTTTTTATACTTAACAACATTATCGCCGAGGGATTGAAAGTTCTACTGGGTAAAAGAAAAATAAAATAAAATTAAGATAAAACGCGTGAAAAATTAAAGACTAATTTTGTGGGATAATATTTTCAATTCAAAATTTCGTTTCACTACAACGTTAACGTTACCATTTATAAAGTGAACGAGAAGAGATAGCAAGGGATGAAGGCATGGCTAAATTTAATACTATAGCATTAGAACGTTCAAGTAAAAAGAGATATTATATAATTTATACACCGTAATAATGCTTTATTCATAATCCTGGAAATAGCTTTGTATCAGAAATACAATCTCGTAGAATCCGTTTTCATCCCTCACGTCATTTCAACTCTTTGTGCATTCCATTTAATTTTTCCCCAAATTCAGGAAAATATTATTTAAGCACGTTTAATTGTGTTTAATGTTTGTTAGAGATGCTTTAAATTTTGAAAATTATTTCTCATGACTTTATGAGGAAATAGTACCGTTTGATGAAACAAAAATTTTCTTCACGCTATACAACATAATTTTAGTCACGCATTCTTTTCCGAGTTTACGGATATTATAATAAGTCAAATTGTTATGAATTTTCAGTGAATTTATTATTTCCTACGGTTTTTAAATACAATCCATCAATTTGATATAACCACTAAAAAAACTACTGTATAAATCGATATACGTGTACACGAAGTCGATTAAAACCTAGAGCACAGTTTGTGCTTTAATATTTATTTTACTCTCAATAAGCTGATTGAGTAACTCTATTGCTGTACTTAATTAAGCCTCGATCCCTAGAAACCTACGTCTCTAGAAAGTATCCAATACGTATTCCCAAAGGAATGAAAACTGTCATACCGTTTTTCACGTATTGGACCATACCAGTTTCAATCGATAAATCCATGGATCGAGGCTATGAAAGAATTTCTATAAATAAATGTTACAGCCGAGTCTGCGCCGTATAACATGTGCGAAATCACAACGTCCAGCGAATTTCCTAACGTTCCAAAACGAACGAAATGGTAATGCTCTTACGAGTGTAGCAACTTTTAATGCTTGAAGTTTATATATATTTAACGCAAATCTATAATTTCACGCACTCGTACATAAAAGAACTTTCGAAACATGAAAATTTGCGTCACTGACTTTGACACTTTTATTTCGGATATAAAACTTTTTTCTTCTTTTTTTTTTATATATATAAATCCGAATATGAAAAGATTCAAATTCTCCGTTTTATTCATTTCCACGTGCGTTATAAAATTCTCCGACAACGTGTTCGTAGTATTGTAATGAATGCCAAATATATGTCAGAGCTGTACGACAGAACGGCGGTAAATTCAAATAGAATACTGGAATTTCGATTGAGCCATTGCAAAATATTGCAATACAATGCACATTAACAATATAACGCAGATGCCTTATAAAAGAAATGCTAGACTGAATTTATATTGTTAACAAATGCAAGCAATCCTGAATGAACGTATTCAAAATCACAGAACGAAAGTGCATTACTTGTTCCGAGCGCGTCGAAATTACGTATCAATAAAAATGCATCCAGCGTTCGCATCCCGTATCCAATACACGGGAGTATCCTGTTTCGCGTGTGTGCCAAAGTCAGAAATTACCGTTGCAACTGAGTGAGCCCACAAGCAGCCAATCGATCATGTCCGGAGCCATGAGATCATTCGTTTCGAGGCTTTTTCTTGCGAACTCGCCATAGTCAGCTCCAAAAATCCTATTGACTCTTACTCTTTTTCTATCGCGACCATTCCTCAGTGCGTAACACGTAAAAGCTACGGAGATGTCAAATTTTTGAAAAAGCTTACGTGGCTCAAAAATTAAATCCCGATGGCAAAAAATTTTTCTTTTCGATAACTTTGACTTTTTGACTATTAAATTATATTTCAATTCCATTAAAAAAAAATTGTGCAGCTGATTCAATATTATTATATATTAATTGAATGAGATAAACGCAAAATTTCGGTAAAAAAAATTAACCATGGGCAAAATATTAATTAATTCAATAACTGAAAGAATATATCTATGTACATACATATTCCAGGTTTATGATAATTATAAAAATATAGTATTAATTTACTTACGTGATGTCATTACTCGCATGGCTGCTATGCCGCGAGTAAACATCCCCTGTACGAGCTTCGAACATGGCAACAGCCAATGGACCTTCTTGACTCTGTAATTCACGACTGGCTTTCACGTAAAGGTAAGCAGTGATGGTAAGCGGCGCAACGTATCTACGATTAAGAGATGTCACATGGATTAAAAAATTGTTATAAGGTAGGAAAAACTGTTCGGGGTGTGGCCTTAACGTGGATGTTACTACTGGCAGATAAGGGATGTTACGTTCGCCTATGAGAGTTTTAACGATTTTACTGTTTTGGTAAATTTTTTTTTCCCTGTGATAATAAACATCCTACCTGTAGCTTCAGTTATCTTAGTATAGCTACTGATATGTATATTTTTACTGTACAGTATGTAAAAGCTGAATTCCAAAAATACTATTTTTCAATAATATTTGCTGCAGTAATGAAGTTACAGGTTACGTTGAGAAATGGTGTGCTCATTCGATGAGTAATCTGTGAGGTATTTATGCGTTTTAATTTGACACTTCATCATTGCGTCAATTTGATAGAAAGATAATGATGAGAACAATTGAAAATATTATTTGAGAATATAATCGCATTGCTAATTAGTTTTGTTACCATTTTATGCGATAACTGTTAAAGCCCTGAAATTGCGTGTTTCAAACGCTTGGTCAGCGATACTTTATCATTTAGTTAGTATTGTAAAATGTATCCCACTAAACAGTATACGATGTCTTGATTAATCTGGACGTAACTATACGAAATTCGCGTGATTTCCTACAATTTAACAAAATTTATTGCGGATCGATGCGATCAGCCTCTCTGGAAATTGACTGCGAATTATTCTAGAATCGTGTAAATCGTTGGAATCACGTGATCAATGAAATCCATCAACTATTTATCGAAAGCCACGTCAACACGAATTTTTGGCTTACAGTTAAACTTATAAGAAAATATTATTCAACAATTTTGTCATTCTTTTTATGTTAACTTTACAAAAATTTTCTATGCTTTATTCGTCAAAACTTTATCGAATCGCGTCACTTATAGCTCGGAAACGGCAAAATCATGCGATGATAAGTTAAAGCCGATTTGACAAATAATACATAACCGTTACGAATTGCGGAAGCGGAATCAGCCTGAACGAGCATCCATTAGAATCGCGGTTCTGTTATTGTCGTCCTAGTCCTTTTAGTCAACGTCATAATAGGGTGTTCGAAAAGTTCCGTATCAGATATATACCACTAGGATATCGTGGTAAAATTTTGACTAAAACATTACTTCCAACTTTGACAAATTTTTATCGGTTTTGCAGAAAATTGCAATTAAAAATTGAAAATGTCCATCAACCAAAAGCGTTAGCTGATCGACAAAAATGAGTGAATTGTCGGATTGGCAGAGCATTTTCCCTGATGGATATCAACCAAATTTCTCGAATCCCTCGCTCGTTAAGTAAATCGGTCTAATGAAGCAGAAGGTTATTTGTTTTTCCGTCTTTCATTGTGTTTTCGTACGATTTCCTTTAGCGAGTGAGAGACTTTGTTGATATTCGTTGGGGAAAATGATCGGCCAGTCCGATGCCCCATTGATTTTAGTCGATCAACTAACGCTTGATTGGTGGAATTTTTCAATTTTTTATTTCAATTTTCGCCAAAATCGATAAAAATTTTGAATTTTTGCAAAAACCGTTCCGTCAGAATTATACCACAATTCCAATGTTATATATCTGATACCAAAAGTATCGGACACCCGATATAAATAATATATTAATATTTATTAATAAATGTTTCTTTCAACATTTTTGTTCAATTCGCATCTGTCAATATCTGTCATATCGCTGATAACCCTAGCTGTCAAAAACAGCAAATTTACGCACATCATTCATCTAATCAGCATTGCCAAAAAGCAGAAGCAACATTTCTTATATGAATTACATGATTTTCTAGCAATATAACATAAATTGCTACTTCCGATATAAAAAAAATATTTCACGACTAAAATCAATTTACGGATCAATCACGTATTCAAGATCAATTACGTTCCTCTGATATACACTCTTATCGATAAAATCTGTATCCTAGGCTGATAAATAAAAAAAAAGAATCAACCCTCGTTTTCAGACCATGTCCTTACACATAACAAAAAATTAACCCTGTCTAACAAAGAAAAAATATATATGTATAGAAACTGATAAATATCTTAAAAAAAAAAAATAATTTTCCTTATTTTCTCAAAATTTATTTCAATTCGAAAAAATTATTATGGAATAAAAGTTTCCAGGGTACGGTAAACAAACTATGTAAATTCGCAGAGTCGCACCGTGCCATATTTGCAAGGCAATTGCGATACACACGCACCCAGTATAAACAGCCCAACTTGGTAACCACGTTTATTAATTTAAAAACCAAAGCTATTGGCCGTGAATCTTCTATAACGTCATTCCGTCAGACACTTTGACTCAACGGCAAATCTTCTCTCGGCAAGCAACGTGTCTGCCCCAGTATTATCTTGACGGTAAAAAAAGGGTCGCAAAGGCAGAGCAGTTGAGCAAGTCAAACAACTTTCGTGGCTTCTTTCACGAAGAGAAATAACTCGAATGATTCCGTAATGTCGGCCCCAATGAGTGTTCTCGCTAGAGCCATTGCCGTGAACTCACGCAATTCTGACGTTTCTTTCGAAATTAATCACCTCACAGATATTACGTACTAATCCAAATTTCTTGAGAATTTAACTCTCCTCTTATCCGAAAATATTATTTTTATATATATGTATATATACGTATGTGCATATGATATTGTCTCAGTATCAGAAAGCTATCGTGAATCATATGCATGTATCGATCATCGATTGATCTATTAACGAACATTGTTTATTATTACCATAAGTAACATAAATTTAAATAAAATCAATAGCGATCGAATTTTTACTCACGTTCCAATAAAAAGACCCCTCATGTACTCCTGCATGTCATCCGCCAGATTCGCCACGCAAATCCCCATCCCTTCGAAGTGTTGCTTCATGAATCTCTGAAACAGAATAAGGGGTGGATATTATTTACAGCCATATAGGAAAATCTGATAAAAACTTGTATAACCTTTATCACCTACATGACTTATTAAAAATACATGCCGATAGGAAATCGCTGGTGAAGCATAAAATACATATTTTAAAAACCGATTTTGTTTTTTTTTCGTGCTATATTTATATTCACAAAAAAAAAATTGAACTAATCAACCAAGAAAAACAAAGTTCATTTTTCGCAATTTCATTGCTTCAATGAGAAATCAAGTGTTATCGATAATCACTAACTAAGAAGATCTACTGAAAGTTCATGAAATTCTCCTGTTGCTGCCGGGGCTTTATGCTAGCACAAACTTTATTGAGCTCCTGGTACATATACCCAAGTTTCCAGAGTTTCCCTATTTTGCCTAAGCAACCATCCAGCTCTCAACTATTTACAGTTCAATGTCCAGGAAAGTTCAATGGAGATGGCTTTTGCTACGATTTAGGAATAAAAGGAAAAGTGAAAACGCCTGAACCAACAATTTAATTCAAAATTGACTTAAGAAATAAGAATCTATTTTCAATTTTACATAAACCTCATGGAAATTGCCCTTGTGCTTTCCCCTACCGTGAACTCGTTGGATCCATGAAAAATTCTATTCCAAGTCGAAATTAAGTTAATCGAAAATACCTTCTTCTTTGCCATCATTTTTTTTAACATTTTAGATAAAGAAAAATTGTGTGATATCGCATCTAAACTCTATACTGTTTCATACAAGTATATGTAAGAATGAGTTTGTACGTTCCTACATACGTTAGTTCAAAACTCGAAAACCATATAACCAAATTTGAAAGACTCTCACTGATGGAAAACTTTGATCTTCAAAAATAACATAAATTATGTGCCGTTACGATATGTCGAAAAGGAGGCTGAGTCACGAATGAAAATTTAAAGCAGGTCAGCAAAACATGAAAAAAAAGTCGTGGACAGAAATCATTAAACGAATACGAAACAAAACGAAGAACGTATTAAATGGTTAGAAAATTTTCACGCACTTTTATCCACTAGATATACCAAGTTGATTCAAGTATCGGATAAAATACTTAAAATGACAAAGGACAACGTGAACGTCACACTTCATTAATTCTACTCTGAGTGCGTTAACCTTGAGAATATAAAATTTACCAAGCCCTGCACACGCAACGCCTACGTTTCCTATGTAACTAAAAAGGGTTTTATTTTTAAAAACGTTACTTTCCCTCCTCGTGACAAATATTTATAAAGCCTCCCTAGCTCCATAAACAAAAGTTTATAAGATGGCGATCGCAGTCGTATCCCAGATATTAAAAGACCTCACGAAACTTTTCAAGGTTTCTAACGAAAATTCACATACCGACGAATTGCGAGACAGATTTATCATAATTGTTCAACGAATAACGTCAAATCCGAACTTCCCATTACAACGTGTAGCCATGAAATATATTGAACACATAGAAATTATCACTGACACTAAATATGAGTAAATTCGCATTACTGCAATAAGAAAAATACATATTTACAAATTTCAAAAACAAATATGTATTAAACACGTGTTACCTGTGATATTATTCGTTATCGAAATTTTGTCTGTCACGTTTTGACGCAGATCTAATTTATTGTAAAAACAGGAGCTACTGGTAGCATATATGAGAAAATGGATATTTTTCCACGCAAATAAAAATGGAGGTAAGCTCAACTTTTAACACCTGCTAACAATACGTAACAACGTAAAGACGAAAGTTTTAATTCTGTTTACATGAAGCAGCGTGTAACGACGGCGATGAAATTACGTGAACCTCGTCAACTCGGTCTTCCAGTTGGCTAAAACTGAAGTAACTTATGTGCGAGGAATAAAAAAAAAAAAGAAACAAAGAAAGTTAAGTCCTTACACTCATTAGTTGTTATCTTTATTCTGTCAAACTATAGCCACAAAACGGTTAGGATCTTGGCAACTAAACTGTATGATATTATACATGATAATATACCTGTAAACCGAAACCCACGATATGCATGATAAGTTCTTTTATAAAAGGTTTAGGAGCTTACATGAAAAGCACTACGGTCCTATTCAATATAATGAAACGAATTAAAAAAATTATCAACATTCAGTTTACTCCTTAGTTGTTCCACGAAAAGCAAGCTAATCGAGTGGGAGTCACATTCACTGAATAGCGTAGGTGTACCTAAAGATTAGTCAGATCAAATAATTGCTTTATCAAAGTTAATGTCGCACTAACAATATGTCTACTCAAAATATTTCGAAATCTGAGAATTCACGAGATTGCAAAATTTTCTCTAAAGCTAACATACAAATGGCTCGAAAAAAAAAGAAATCAAATGTAGGATGATTTAAAGCAAACGCTACGCTGAACGCTATCTTGTAATCTCTCGGTAATTATTATTCTCAATAATGATACAAATGAAAATGACGTATCGACCCGGCTAACCTCGTCAGCATAAACTCGTATATGTCGTGGTGAAATAAAAGGACTCACGTTTAAAGTACACCTTCAGACCAGGCTAGAGTAAGAGGCTTAAGGTACAAATCCGATATGATATATATATTTCTCGTACGTGAAAAACATTTTTTTTTTTTTAAAAAGAGTCTGAGTATACAAAAGAAGTGGCATTGTGTCGAAAAATGTCAGCGGTCAAATATACTACCCTCGTCAATATCGGTGACCCAAGAAGATCCTGTTCACATAAAGAGCTTGTAGCATGAAACAGGTACGGGTCCAGATCTCCCTGGACCCGGACTAAAATTCTATTGAATCGAAGGGGCGTATCTATTATGCCCTGATAGACTATCTCGTTATCGATTCCAAAATGCGTCACTCAAGATTTCAACATTTTCAACGGAAAGGGATATAGTAATTGGTTGTTCAGGGCAGGAGATACCCAAAATTCAAGTGCTGAGGTTAATTTGTGTAATTTCAGGATAAGGGTAGTTCGACAATTTTTCAAGAGTTTATGATAAAGGAGAGGATAACTTAAGTAAGGTAAATAACGTAAGTAAGTTATAATATTACTTAGGTGAAAGAATCTGGTTGAATAGAGACTTTTGAGATATTTATCAAGCATAAAATACATTGGAATTTTTCTACCGTGAACATTGGCAAATGCGATTTTTCGGTAGAGTTGTTGAGGACTTTGACTCACGTTGTGCGAAAGATTTGAATGGAAAACGAGTGAGGTAGAAAATTGTCTCGCAAGTTGAGAAGGTTGAAAGGGTTAACAAAAGACATAATGATTGACAGAAATCAATTGACTTACCTCCAAGTCTAAATACGTTGTGTAGATTGGATATGGGAGTACAATGCAAATAGCGAAGAACCAGGCACCCAGTGCGCAAACGAATGCTGGTATTCGTGGCTTTCCTGGATCGCTGAGTAAACGAAATCTATCCCCAGCAATCATTAGGTAGGTCATCATGGACACGTGAAGTGGAATGTCCTGAAATAATGTATTTTTAATATTTATTTGTAGATTTTATTTCAATTTTTTTAAATATTTTATTCAACAATACATTCTTTTTGGTTTCTTTTATCTATGTACCAATTGGTATAGTCGTCGTATTTTCAGTGGGATTAACGACCAAAAGTTCGAAATTCAACAGTAAGTTTTATATTAAGTTTTATTGTACACAGGATGCTCAGTATACAGATATATGCTCACCAGTAAATAAAGGACAGATATAAAGTAATTGAAAGCATCTACTTTGGTATCCATTCTTGCACGACTATTTCTGTGTAATATACAGTAAAGTTATATTGACTAGTGATAAAATAACTTTAGATGTAGCAAGATAAAGTGGTAAGTATTTCATCTGAAAAAGTTATGCGATATTTTTATAGCCACCGAGATGCTGCTTTATCAGATTAAAAAAACGGATGTAATGGCGGGTAGAAAAAAAAAAAATTGTATCCCGTTTACGTTATACGTAATTACCACTTAGCATAGAATATAGATGAAGTATCTGCTAAGTCATTCTGGATTAAAAGCCATTGTAATAATTAAGATATTTTTTATTAAATTATTAACAGCCTATGTGTAAATTGAGCCATAATAAAAATTAAAGAAAAACGAATTATAATAACACAACATTTTTAGCGCATAAGTAGACCACAGAATAAATATGAATTTATTGTTTACTCTTTATAGAAAAACAGACTGACCATCCTTATTTCATTTTCCCCTATCTATCGACAATTAGTATCAATAATTGTACCAAATGACCAGTCGCATTTAAGTTGAAGTTTAGTTACCAATAAGACACAGCATAGACTTTAGAAAGTATACGTAGTTATATACTTGTGGCGTCGATCATAAAGTCCTGAATAGTCAGCTAGCTAAGCAGCAAAAGATTTACTGCGTAACAACTTGAAGTAGATTTGAATCGTTTATTTGCTCACGACAAAGTTGCAGATTACAGTTATTCACGAACTTGACTAACCAAGTAATTAGTGGAACGACTATGAATTATCATGACAGATGAATAATCTTATAAGTATACATATGTATATGTACATACATATACATATATACATACGGTCATATCAGAATAACTGAAATTGCTTTGTCTCAATTGAAGCTTGTATGGATAGTCGGTGGATACAATTTACTAATTGAATAACTTCGACCATTAACGACAATTAATTACGTGATGTCTATTATCACACGAGCCAGCCACAGTGTTGGCTATAATCACCGAACTCTACATATGTTGCCGTAAACTTTAATGTGTCTCTTATCAGCCGATTTTTATTTTTCGCTATATATATTGTTTTTATCACTGCTGCTTGCACAGAAAGCATATGCATTTTGCAGTTGTACCCAGAAAGTAGAATAAAAAAGGATCTAGATTAAGCATATAGGTCGATTAAAAAAAATCTAGGTCATCTCCGCTCCCACTATAAACTCTTACGTACGTGAGATTCCTGTCATTTTTAAAAGTCGCCCTAAGCCACCTGATCACGAAGTGCAACACGATCCTACTTTCGTCTCACCCGTTATACCGATAACTCTACTCCACTTGGAATTAATGTCGTTCTAAGCCTATAATATTGCTGTTATTTATAACAATGGTGAGCTTGTGTCTTGGTGTAGTAGTACGTATGACGATACGTGATTTGAAAGAATATACTTTTTCGTAAAGTACAAAATTTATTGAATTTCTAAAACACCCGGTACTTAGATTATTGAGCAATTCGTCGCACGAGTACTGAAAGTTCGGATCAACGAATATACAACTTTAATGTATTATATTTGTACCTTAGTTCGTTTCAAGACAAATCGCTTCACTTAGCAACTCGAAATCCTTTTCGTAACTAAACGAGGAAACTCGTATCAATGATAATATAAAATCCCGACTGTGAAAGGACCGCTTGTCCAGATATTTGAAAAGAGAGCAATTTGAAAGGATATAAAAATGTATTATTTCCGAAGAACAATACAGTAAAATATTCTTATTAAACCCAGCATGGATATAGCAAATAAGCATACGTTATTTACACGCGTAATATCAGACGCTAAGATTCATATACCAAGTGCAAATTGACACGATCATTTCGAATTACGACGTAGGTACTTGACACTTATGTAATTTGAAGTTCATTGATACAATTACGAGGGGTAATATTATCGGACGAGACACAACGGACAGATACGTTATAATTATTACAGATACGATATATAATTTTCTGAAATATATCTGATATACCATCTATGACACCAACGGGATAACGGGACACTAAAAAATCTCTAACCAAATCCAATTTCCTGTCCAGGACTCTGGCAAAATATGCATGGGATCAATACGTTAGTACCAGACTGGATCTTTAACCGATTTCAATGTAATAGTATACGGGAAGGCATCATGGACGGTAAGAAAAACAAGTATAAAAAAAAATCAAAGTTTCCTCTTTCTCGCTGTACGATTTCTTAGAGACTTTGTATGTAAAAAAGAACCAGTCAATATAATTGTTTAAAAAAGAAATACGCGCTGCCCGGGAAAAAAGAAAAGAGAATGTAAAAGCAATCGGGAAATTAAAAGTTTAATTAAGCATGATTCGTCGAAGTAAAAAGCATTAATTACACTAATCGTGGAAACTTAAAACTAATCGTTTGTTGGAGTTTTAATTAGAATCGAAATAGGTAGAACGCGATCAAAGAGTATTATTTTTTGTAAACATTATACACAGGGTGTCTCAACGAAAGTGCACAGTTTGATTATCTCTGTTACTAACGAAGATACGGGGAAAAGTTTCGGACAAAAGTTGTATGGTTTTAAGGGTATCGTTTTTTCATCCGAATTATTTTTTCAAATATTCTTCTGATTTAGAGATACAGCACGTTACAGGTTTTTTTAAAATGAAACATTATTTTCTGTTGTTATAAGGAAATGTAGCACGTTTTTTTCTTAATATTTTAAGACTTTGCAGACTAAAATCCATCCAGCCATTTCCAAGTTATTCAGAAGTGAATTTATTAAACAATCTTCGGTTGTATGTAATGGAAATAAACGAGGTATCCACTTTGAATGAGACACCCCGTATATGTACGGAGTAGTTAAATTGCAAATATAATATTTACCAACATGGCTATGTGTTTGTATGATATAATTCATTTCAACACGGCCTTCATAGAGCTTTATGAGTAATGCCTAACGAAAGTAACTTGATTAATGAAATTTAGGGAAAATCCAATAAAAGAATATACACGCACGCGTGGAGGTATTAACGGTGATGATTGAGATGAGAGATCGATATTTCCCTTATTAAAGAAAGTCATGTTACATTTCAACGAAGTTTCGATTGTAATATTGTTGTTCTTTATTCGGGTACTAATTGACTATCGGTGTTTTCAATCGACGAGTATGAAGACGCAGTTGGAAAAATAGACTATAATAACTGCTTCAAGAATAATAATAATAACTGCTTCAGGAAATTATTGGTTGGTGTTCGTGAATGATGATACAATTTAAAATAAGTTGAATCAATATTGCACTGGATCACGGACTTAAAAAAAATGCTGAAAGCAGATTCAATATTTCATTAGTTTTGGAAAATGCTTCATTTCATCACTCCCTTCAACTCATGTTTTTCCCATATTTTTTTAGAAAAGCTCAAACTTCTCACATGCAATCCGTGTAAACTTTATCAATTTGTTTGCAGATACTTCAAAGTCAACTAACCATTTGGTTCTTAACGTAGGCAACGAGGATCCTGTTTGCTCATCCGGAGGACGTGAGGGATAGTCCGTTGGTTCCGGACAAAGTCCCATCTGTTCGAGAATATCCCTTAGTTATGTTTACTTGGATTCTATTAAATTGAGTAATAAATGAGTTAAATTTTAGAAATATAACTCATTTACCTATATCAAAATTTATTTATAACTCAACCCAATGGTTGGATTTTGGAACATGTACTATATAATAGTCATCCTCCGGTGGAGACATTTCGGGGATCAATGGCTGAGAGGCTATGCCGGAGACAGCTGACGTGGCCCTTACGCTTAACCCACTTTGAATTTACTTTGCAGGAAGTGAAGAAAGTTGTGCCAGCAAATAGGATCATTCGGGTCCTCCCAGCAGTTCCCGCTGGGCATCGTTGGGTATCTCAGGACGTGATCCTCTGATTGCGGTAACCTAACAATAAGAAAGGACCTAGGCGCATGTCTTGTATTATTTCATGGGACTGCTTTTCACTCGTTATGATCAAACGTCTTGTATTTGCGATTAAAACAGATCACAGGCTAAAAAATTCCCCATCGAACTCCACTTCTCCCTGCGTCATAGCAATTTGTTCTTTCTGTAAGACGAAGCTATACTCTGGCGAACGTGAAGACTGGACGTCGATTGTCCGTATTTTAAAGCGCGGACGGTTCGGTCCGGACGCTTTGTACGCGTCTTCTGTACTTTGTAACAATGATTTTTCCTACTCGCTTCGTTATCATATAATCCTTATCTCTTGATTAGGGTATTTCCCCCGGGTCTCCTACCTGGACCGCGGACTAATCATACCTCCTTTGCAGAGAAGGAAAGGAGCTGAAATGAACTCAGGGAAATAAGCGAGATGGGAGTACATTTGATACTATCTTTTCCTACCATTTTCAACCCTTTCTCGTCATATTTCTTTTTTTCCCTTTTTTAGGTCATTTCCGAGCTGTCTCTTCGGTCCTTTTCTTTTCACCCCTTTGCCGTCCCTCAAATTCCTTCCCTCTCACCTAGCTTACACGTCTGTAATGAAACTTTCTTCCTCCATCCCATTTTCTGATTTCACACCCTTCTCCTACAACTCTGTTGCCGAAAAATGGACTTATTAAGAATATAAAAAGATTTCATCCACAAACTTCAAATATTTAAGTAGAAGCACTGCCATATTGGTTACTTTTTATCCCTTTTGTGGAAACGAGCGTGTTACTCTACTGGAGTGACATCAGCATTGTTACTAATCATTTTTTTTTTAAGTCTAACCAACTCTATTTCGAATTTCTTGATATATCGTTCTTACCCACTATTCTACATACACTCGATCAATAGGTAGAGTGATATAGGCCCAAGTGATAAATATAGATACTCAAGCCGCAGTATTTTACGAAATTTCACTACAATGCAAATAATACAGTATAGCCGTAATAAGGGCATTACGTAATGGAATTTCATGGTACAAATTACAGCAACTCAAACAATACATAAAGATTCAGACATCATACCCATTATTCGACAGCACATGAACAATAGACCGATTACGTTAATTAGGTCGGAAAACATGACAATCAGTATGTATATATCAAATATAATATGCCTACAATTGGAATTGGAATTACTATTAATTACACATGAAATACTATAACCGTGTCAGAATGTAGAAATTGTTTGAACAGTTAAAAGGAAAACATATTGTAAAAAGTGATACATAACATAACAGCTCCATTGAATGAAAGGCGCAGATAATATTTTAAAGACGAATTCAAGTTACATATATTTTACGAGATACAATATGTATACTTTTTGAGTATGCAGATGTTAAATCAGTTCAAGTTTTTTTGCTTTTGCATAGGTACGTTGCTATCTTTACATAGTCATGACTCATGAGAAATCGTTATACAAAGGTCGTGAGAGCTACTAGAAAAAGCACTCTAGAAATGGCTGTTTAATGAAAAGAAAAGCATAGTTCGGATAAGATATACACGGGCATAGGTCCTGACACAAATTATTGCCGTGTAAAAGAAAAATGGTTGGCGATTCTAGACCACATCCCTAACAAAGAGTTAAGAGCGATGACATATTTCAAGATCGAAAAAGAAGTGTCTATCAGGGGTTAGATTAGGTTAGGAATATTTGCAAATTTCTTTCTCATCTTGCAATAATAAATCTCAGGCACGATTGACCCACTTTAACTTATCAGCAGGTAATCCTTAATCTTTCAAATAGTATATATTTACGGTGCAGATAAACATACGAAATTCAATGACCCAATGTTCCAAAAAATATAAAAAACTTTTCGTAAAGTGCCCGAAATCGCTGTCTTAAAATTTGAATAATTGACTTCTCTCGCAAGTCGCGAAGTGCTATTTGACTTAAAATTTGAAATGGCAAATGTCCTCCGTAGATTTTCTTATATATATATATATATATATAATTTGAGTCTTTATACTCGAAGTGGAAGGAATTGTCGTATCTCCCAAGAAGCTCTCAAGGACACGTCGCTGTTTTTTTTTTCGAAACGACGTTTCAGAACTTTCTTGTTGCTCTCGGCGTCACGTAGTTATTTCGTCTGAATTATTTGTTATGGACTGACATAGACTAGCGAGAAATATTGACTTTACACTTTATAGTGTAACGGTGCTAATTTATAATAAAATTTTGGACCATTGTTCCCCATTGCCGCACTGCGTTTAATTTTTTTACTGCGCTTTGTCTTAACAAAGAATAGCCACAATTTTAAACAGTCATTACCTCGTACTTTCAGGTTGGAAAATTTGGGAACCGGTACGAATTATGAATTAACCCGGAAATGACAGAAAACTCTGTTTAACAGGTAATTGAACTTGATGGAACTGAGTGTTGTTCACGAACTTTGTCATTCGTTTGATTTTACTTTCTTATAAATTTTTCAATCAAATTACACTTTTCATGTAATCTATTTACAAAAACAGTTTATTTTTCATAAGATAAAGTAACAAACTTACTTTTACATTCTTATGACTTGAGCATAGGTCTTTGGCAGGAAGGGTACACGAGAGGAAAATGGATACGTGACCTAAAGTGTATTAGAGAGATTTATCTCCGTAGCTATCCTGTATGCATGAGGTTATACATATGTATTATATTTGTTAGAGGAAGTACATGCCATATAAGCACTGTGTCATTATAAAGAGGAAAATTACTTTGAATGAAACTTCACTTGGAATGACTATAGTCGATTACTTGTGCTATTTGACGTTCTTGAACTTTGAACGTTTTTACGAATCCTTTATCTATTTTCATACCCACCCTATATGCTTCACAGCGACAAACTGGGGTGATAAGAAGATTTTGTTGAAAATAATAAAATATGATTAAACATTGAATGCTTTTTTATAAGAAGGATTATTACTTTCACAAGTGTTATTACCCTTATAATTTTTAATTATTATTAACTTATTACTTACATATTTTTTTTCAACTTTCTATGAAATTCTGATCTACACACTTACAAGGTTATAAGATTTTTGTTTGAAATATTTCAAGTGTCGTATTTCTTGCGATTATTGTCAAGCACGAGCTTAGTTTCAAAATAAATCGGTGCTATCATTTTATATGGAACTGTCAGTTTTCCATGGGAATCCAAAAGAATTGCTTTTTCGAATATCGTCCAGATAATTCAGGCGAGACAAATACGTAAAGGGTGGAAGTGTCATGGGGGGGTGAGAGGGGGGTTGTATCTGAATTTATTCGATTTTGAAACGTGAAATGGCTTACTTTATGATAAGTAGATTTCTTCTGAAAAAAAAATAAAATCCCAAGTTTATATAACGGTATCGGATAGTAGGTAAAACCTTATCAGTGAACTACAATAATATTCATGGAGTTTCGAGAAGGACGGAATAAATTTAATTAATACAATGGAAAACGTATTCCCTCTGCACAAACAACTCTACCCCCTAACCCCCATAAAATAAAAACAACTACTATTCGCACACTATATGCATATTACGTAAAAAAAAACTTTTGTCAAAATTTCTTTTCTCTATACGTTCACATCTGATTATTTTTTAAAAAGTTGCATTACCATTCCCATATGTAACAGCATCTACAGTGGTATAGTCTAAACCAATTATGTATAGTTCGACACTGATTCAAATGCATCTAGGTGCATTGGACCGATTATTGACACCTCGTAAATTTATTAGTAAAAAAATACATGCCTGCAGCATGGGTAGAAAGTAGCAAAGAAATTTGCCGAATATCCAATTCTGCAGAAGAAGAACAGTCAGTGTCATAGGTAGAACAAAGATGCACTTAACCACATCGGAAATTGCCAGGTTGATCAGAAAGGCATAAGTTGGATCTCTGTAGAAACGATACTTCACGATATGATAGACCATGGCAAAGTTCATCAAAGTTCCTGCCAGAATTAGTATAGCATACATGAGTATGAAGAGCGGATATATGCCAATTACTGATGGTCTTAAATGAGGCTGAGAAAAATCCACCACCGTATCATTGCGAAATCCCATAAGATAATTCGCAACAGTCTGCAACCACTGAGTAGGGATGCCATCAATGTCTTCGCGCGTTACTTGCATCTTCATTATTGATTTTTGTTTGATTTCACAAAAACTTCACTTCATTTTTTTAAGCAGTACGTATTTCACTGTTTTTTTTTTTTAAAGTTATACTTAAAATTATCAAACTATTCTTGTCCTTGTTGAATTATACTAAATTTCGTTCTTGCGTAGAGCAGCGATTAAAAACTGTATTAACGTAGCATATAATTAATAATATTGTATTAGCACTGCAAAGTATTTTTACGATATTCATTTAATTCGAAGAAGAATCAAATATTGCGTACATGCATTTCTTGGAATAATTCACTCTTACAAGGACAAACTGTAACTGATGAAAACTGCTGTTTCTTACTTATTCACGCTTTACTAATGATACGTATTTTTCATAACGTGCTTTATCGCCCGGTCACAAATATTACCAAGATCCATTACTGTCGCGGAGAGTAAGTGTAAACAGAATCGAGTAAAATTGATCAAGCTATGAATAAATGCATTTATAAATTGCAATATATAATAATATGATTACGATGCATTGAAACTGACGTTTTAACGTTGCCCGTGATCGATAGGCAATTTTGTCGAAGCGAATTATAGCTGAACCGTGTAACTCAATCGGTCGACATTAATACGTGTAAAAAAAAAATTGTCAATTGTCACACGCCTAATTGCATCCTCCTGCGCCCAGCACGATGGTGCGAATTATTATGCAATTGTACTACAGTTACAAATAAATACCCGAATATCGATACTACCATAAATGCATGAAATATAAATATTTTTTATCGTCCAGAGCCTCTCGTAATTTAAATAGGGATTCCAAATTCTTCTAGAATTTATCGGTTAACATTTTTTGGGGAAAATTAGTAAATATCCTTCAAATGTGACTTGTGGCAAGGAACGTAAAAAATATTCATTACGACTTGACATTACACGAAAGCTCTTTGGGTATGTTGAAAACTTGCGATTTGCATTTGACTAGAATATTAGTTTTGATATATATTTTGTATTATTTCTTTGGGGTCCGTTGCGGACTATAATAAATCCACGCGCCACTCCTTCGGGGAAAAAATAAACTGAACAGAGCAAAGAGAAGGAAGCAGAAAGAAGACAAAGACTCTGCTTGCGTCGCGAAAGTCGCGGCTAGTACTGGTGCGTTGTCGATGGTGACGGTGGTCGTCAGCGTAGACGGCGTCGCGACGGTGTTTATCGCGCAAACTCAGGGTGTATAATGCCAAATAATGAATATAAACGTTAATATCTTATCACGTTCGTCTCTTGAGTTACACCCTATTGATTCGCGATATTTGTATATTTTTTTTTCATTGAAATAATTATTCTGCCAAATTGTTTGGTGACGTAACATTATGTATTGTATGTAATAGGGTAATTAAACAATTTTCAATTAATTTAATTTCACGTGATTTGATTTTAGAACTCTGACGAATTGTCTAGCCCTTGTGACAATAAAAGTTGATTCCAGGAAAAATGACTGATTTGTTTAAATATTGCTATATGTATGTTCAGCGAAATGTTAACTTACATTTCTTCAAGAATACTTTCATAGGAAAAAAGGGATTTCGAGGCTGAGGAAATGAATCGTTTGAATTATGTAGTCTGTAAATGAAAGACATTCTTCAAATTGAATAAAATTAAGGATTTTACATAGCAACGGTCTGCTGTACACTAAATTCGCCTATAGCTTGGGAAAAGGTGAAAACGCTCTCTCGAGTCCGTTTGGTGAACATAAATGTGGATTAGTGCTCCGTTGTTAGGTTACCAACAAAAATTGACTTTATCGAGAAAATAAAATATATTACCTGTAGTTGGTACAACGGCAGATCCCGGTTGTATCGTCGTTCACTGAAGATAAGTAGATCAGGCATTTCCTTCCTTCAGTCTTTCCCGTTATGGATCAGGTATTCTCATGTATTTCGCGATGGCCATGAAATGATATCAGAATGTTGAATTTTTTGCCTGCACAACTTCAAACTGTGGCCTGATTCTTGGACCACAATCATTAGTGACCACTACCCACTTAGGTGCTCTCCATTCCCCGGATCGTGCACAACCAGTCTACGCTCTGATAAATTTTGCAATTTTCAGTACTTCCAATATTCCTTAGACCTTTCGCGCTCGGTATTTTCCCATTTTCTATATACTTTAGTGCTTGAGAAGGGACAATCGAGTTTAAAAGATTAATACATAAATTTATTATTTGCATTCATTATTTTTATAATTCAGAATATGAACTTATTAATATATATTAATTTCACTTTGATCTGTTTTTGATCTTCTTCCTGCAGGAAGGCATGAGGTGCTGGCGTTTGTCTTATCGATCTTACACAGTGCGCTCGGACTTGAGATTACAAAGGAAAAAAAATATTTGGGCAATATCTGATGAGCGATATCGTTCGAAGGGTTGCTCTCGAAATCAGCGGTAAGTAGCGGAGAGCCTCTGTCCACCAAGCTACGCGTTCGCGTTCACGCTTAGCTCGGCTACGACGCGATATGCTTTGTCGACAGAGGCGATGATCACAAACTCGTGCTTCCAGACTCGCCGCTATGATTCAGCGCCATGCTTTTGGTATCGCCTAAAACCGGAGCGTTGTACATCTCCCCACTCATCTCTGTCGCCTAAAACCGTAGCGTTGTGCATCTCCCTACTGATCTCTGCCTAAAATCGTAGCATTGTGCATCTCCCTACTCATCTCTGGAGCATTTCAGAACATTTCCCTTCTCAGCTTTGTGTAGTTCTGGTATATCTTCTCATTGGAGGAGTCAGCCATAAGGAAAGGAAGGAAGGAAGCTTTGTGTAGTATACACGTGGTTTTAGCAAATTTTGTTTATTCATTATATTCACTGAAAAATGACGAAAGTAAGGAAAGTTAAACGTAGGAAGAAGTTTCGAGTAAATGTAAACCGTAAAAGATTACGGAATAAGTTACGAAAGTTACCTGCAATAGGATGGTAAGTCATTTTAACCTGTTACTTGATGACCATGCTGTATAAGTATTTAAATTGTAAGAATTCATTACTGAAATTCTTTTCATTATTCTTTGAAGTGAGGAAATAAAAGAAGCCTGGGAAGTAAAAAAATCAACACGGAGTAATTTAGGCGAAATGGGCTTGGCGTATAATCCAAATGAAATATTAAAGATACCTAATACAAAACGGGAACTCATAAACAGTGTTAAAGATAAATTTAAAGATACAGAGCATGATGAAGATGATGATGAAGAAATGAAGAAGGGTCCACCTGCAAAGATTCATGTTGCAGAGAAACTTGAGTCTGAAGCAAAAGCTCCCAGAGTATGCTTGTTTAAATTGCCTAAAAATGAAGTTCAATTCGCCACATATATGATGGACAAGTATGGTGATAACTATAAGGTAACTAAACTGATTTATAAATTTTACCAATATCCCTTACATATCTGTAAATTTTTTAAACATTTGTACAAATTGTTTGTATAGGCAATGGTGAGAGATCGGAAAAATTACTACCAATTGACTTGGCGCCAAATACGATCAAAAATAAATAGATTTAAAGGTATTCCTGAGCAGTATGCTGAGTATTTACTGAAAAGGGGTGAAATAGTCTTGGATGATCCTGAGCCTTTGGAAGAAACAAGACGCAAAATTGCATTGGAAAATATTCAGAAGCATTGTATTCCGAAAAAACCAAAACAGAAAACAAAAAAACCTCTCTGGGAAGTAGAATCTATTAATGGCGACGATATAGACCATAATATCGAAGAAGAACCTGAAGAAATTCCATGTGAAAACAATGAAACAACAAAAAATGTTATTGTAGATGTCACTCAAAATGATTCGCAAAAGAAATTGAAGTTATTCTCAGACAATGAATCTGATGATGAAAATGAAAGTGGATTAAATAATAAAAAATTAAAGTCAGGGAGTATCATCGATAAAAGTATAACACAGAAACGTGAAGCAAAGGATAGCTTTCATACTGACAAAGTAGAGAATAAAACAACCAAAAATAATAAGCGAATGGAAACTCTGAAAAAAATGTGTTTTAGTGAAAGTGACACTGAAGAGGAATTTGAAGGTGACGATGATGAAACGGGATTCGTGGGTTTAAGTGACATGAGTGAAGAGGGGTTGTCCGATGATGATATTTTGGATGATGGTGAATTCGTTACAGACAGTAACGAAGAGAGTGATTAACATTCAAAGAAAATATTTTGTAATTGAGTCCGTATACTGCGGGTATGTTGGAAATATTGTAAATATGTTGACTTACATTGATAAAATGATTATCATCATTACTATAACTTTTATTTTTTACACATGTAACCTTAGGACAATATTATTCTTAAGAAAATGATTATATAAACGTAACTTTTTAAAGAAATTTTAATGTATCGGAATAGTAACATTACACTGATATGGCACCATTTTCTAAATTTACACATTACCATAGAGGGAAACAATTAAATTGTACTGTCCGTTTGAGGCTTGCAAAGAATTTTACAGCCGTACTTTAATATACAGGTATTTGCTAAAATACACTCCACAGGTTTGCGTTGAGATAAAAAAATCTATTCTTGGCGATATATCCGTAATGCTTATAAAATAGTAGAAAATAGAGTAATACTGGTTATTAAAAAAAAAAGGGAAAAATTAAAAAAAAATGACAGCAACTCAACAGTATAACAGACGACATTCATGTTTCAACTGGATTACTCTGCCTTATTCGATAATGTTAATAAATCTAGTGTTTTAAAAAGGTGTAATAAATTTTTCATGCACAATTTTCACGAGTTTTCTGGAAATATTTCTTCTCTATCGTTATCCTCGATTTTATTGCCTTACAAAGAATACCAATAATTCACTTAATAATTCTTTCATCCTTTTCACAATATATTAGTGGAATATCCTCTGTCCTCTCTGGTGGGGTCAAACCCTATTAAATATTAGTGCTAGCTTAGGATGAAACAGCCATCGCGAATATTTTCTTCCTTACAACGTCCACTGAAGGATGATGCCAACTGTGCTCGTTCACATCCTGTGAAACTTCTGGTAATGGACGAGTCTGACAACCAATCACTTCAATCTTGTGCTTATTGGCAGGAATACTACGTAAGTCAAGTGCTTCTTTGACCTGATCAGGTCTCAAAGCATTTGGAGAGTCCTAGGAAAATTTATTGTTGAACATATAAATGTACCTTCCTTTCATCTGAGTATTAAAACCATTTTAACCATATATATTCAATAAAATAAAATAAAAACAAGTTTATTAACACTACGATCTATTGAAAAGATGTATGAAAGTATGTACAATAGATGAAAAATTGCTTGTAAATTTACCTGCTTATTTGCAATCACCAAAATCGGTACAGTATCCATTCTAGAATCTCCCAACAGCTGCTTTAGTGCAGAAACCGCAACTGATAGTTTGTTTGTATCAGATGCATCCACCATAAATACCAAAAGATCTGTGTCTTGAAGAAAGTGACTCCAATATTTTCTTGTATCCTCTGCACCCCCAACTACGAGTGGATAACGAACCATAGTGAAGATAATGATATAAAATCATGTTAAATCAAAGAAGAGCATAGAATAACGTACTTTCCCAAATATCAAAGACATAGGGTCCATTCTGTAATCTAAAGACACGGAAACCATGAGTCGAAGCTGTAGGAACAATGTACGAAGTCCCATTAGCAGCTGCAATTGCTTGATTCATTACGGAGGTCTTTCCTGCACCATCCAAACCCAATAGGAGTACCCTTCTCTCGTTGCTGTCATCAATCTGAATAATTCCCAAAATTGAAGGCTACTTAATCTTTTGGAGACTGACAACACAAGGCAATTAATTAAGGAGGAAACAGGTAAACCAAGATAGCTAAACAAAAAGTTACGTCTTAAATTCAAGCAAATTAAATATACCTAAAGAAGCAAGACCCTAACAGACATCAATAAAGCTCCAAGTGTAATATAGCGATGCAGATCACTATCAGTTCAACAGATGGATATAATGAGTTGAATAGTTCCCTATACCAAGCACATAGAAATTTACAAGTAAATAAAAATAATAATAGCCACAATGATAAATCATTAAAACAGCATCTAAAAATCTAACCAGTCGGAAACAATGCATGAAACAACAAAAGAATGATTAAACACACACGGTCAAAATTACAGGTAATACTCAAAATAACCAAAAAAGGTAAAGTATAAAGTTGCATAAAGTTTGTTAAAAATTCAAAAATTCTAACCTTGGAAACTTCTTCAAAACCTTCGTCAATCGACTTAAGTTCTCTTCTTCTCCAATATTGATAGGCAACATATGCACCGACGCAGGCACAGCCGACACAAAACATAGTCTTCTTGCCATAGCGTGGCATGTTCATAACCATTCTTTCTTTAGCCTCTTCTTCAGCCTCTCACAAATGTATTTGTAAACGGGAAAGTAATATTTTCCCTTATTTGTTTAACTCCGCGTGACAGACAACACGCGCAGTCGCCTAGCGTCTTCTTGACATGTGGGATCAGTGTTCAATGCGCAGGCTGCTGCGATTAACATTCGTCCATTACTAAAACTTTACAGGTGGCGGCGATGTGGCCAGTTTTGTATGTAGCAGCAGAGGTACCAGTAAGTGTAGTTCAAATTGCGACACTCACACACTCCATTCTCTACTTGAAGGAAACGATTTCTATATTCTATTCAAACAACCTTCGCTCCTTGCTTTCATTTTGATCCTTGTGTGCACGAATTCACAGTTGCGCATTTGTCGCACACTTCGATCACAAAGTTTTAAGCTGTTCATCACAGAGCACTATTTAGCGTATTAATTTTAATTACAACTTCGTACAGAGAAAATTACAAGACCCTTAAAATACTATGCAGTATTAATAACTGTATCTTCTCTCCATCATTACGATGATAAGGGTCAAAGGGGCGAAAGGTTAAATCCGATTTTCCATATAACCCTTTCATCCTCAAAAGGATTAGACTCAGACGGATACTGATTGGCGCATCGACGTACATTATGGACTACGCATAGACATAGGAAAAATGATTGGCTAAATGATAAAGATAGCTACTGGTGATGGCCAAGCCCTGTCTCTTTCTAACCAGCAGCCGGAATACAAAAGTATAAAGAAAGTAGCCAATAGGAGGATTCGAAAAGGAGAGCGATTGACCGCCACCTCATTTCCTCTTTGTTTATTTGGACGGTTACATTTTCAAAGGATTTGAAGCAGGGATCACATAGTCCATACTATACGTCAATGGATTGGTGATTCTTGTTAGTTTAACAGAAATTGCTTAAATCGTATCTCCTTCGTTAGACTACGTCATTTTACTCTAAAATATAGTTTGTCCTTTGCGACAAATAACTGATAAAAAATGAAGTTCAAAAGAACTGCAAGTGTCGACTCGATTCCTAAAGACTTGGGTCGCGTGTCGTCGGTCGCTAATCTGTCTAATCTGCCCCAAATGAAATAGTTGCGATTCTTTTCCACCCTTCCGACCTTTCTACGGTATTTAAGTAGGAGGACCCACTTGACTGGGGTATGGCTAGTGGATGATGACAAGGGGGATGATGTTCGAGGACATCGCTATAACGGGCTGCTAGCTATATATAATCCCTCTAACTGGCTGCTAACATATTTGCGACGCTTAGGTGCCTCGGTCATAGGCGCAGCTACACCTACTGTCGAAATTACCAAAATTTCAAGTGCTTAATATTACGAAAATACGGAATACCAATTATATTTAATGACCTTACAGAAAAAAATGTTTCTAATTATTTAACAAATTTTCACAGAAAACTGTCCTCACGATTTTTTTTATTTGGCACTGTTTTCATCAATCTAACAATTTGTTGTCCCGGTAAATACAAAGATACACAAGCAAGCGTTATTCTCTGAAGGATGTCCTTCGCTCTTGCAATATTGAATTCTATCAGTTAAAATTGAAATGCAAAACTTTTCACTTGGCAAAATTGAATCTGTTACTAAAATTGTATCCTATCCTACGCTACTGTTGCCTGACAATATCGGTCCGTCCTCTCGTCGCTTTTTGATTCTCCCTGTTCCCCTACTCCTGTACCACCCCTAGACCGGGGATAGGGCTGACTTTTATTACCCTGTTTGATGTTATGAATGCGTTCAACGCAACTACAACGACCCCTTATCTATGCTGCAAGTGGTTATACTTTTTATGCTGTGTATCACTGGTACGATTAGCGACAGAAACAAACCAACAATTTCATTTTCATTTTACGACTCCCTAAAATATACCAGGAGCAACCCTTATCAATAGGAGGTAAATAAAGCGAAAGAAAAACAATATTATTTCATGCGTGTTACGTACAAATTTATCTATAAATAAGAACACGCCAGTCTGTTTGACATAATACAATTTTCCGGGTATTCCCACCCCTCCGTATCAGGGGTGGAATGCGAATCTATCATTATTGAAATGCATTTTATGAGCATATCAGTGATGAGCAGATTTATGATATATGATGCTGGGGAAGAATAGTGCAGGTGCTGATGCAGGTGCGGTTTCACGGACTAATGCAAGTGTGTCTAATCATAGTAAAAATATTTATTCGTTGCTCACATTGACTCTCAGGACCATTGTTCTGCATCCCTCGCAGAAAATGATAAATTGTCAAAGCCGTGCCTAAAGAGGACAAACTGTGTCACGTGTTGGTCCACCACTTTCATTTATCATACGTAAATCGCACGAGGCCAAAGTAATGAAAAGAATTTCGTAAATTGTTCCAAATTAAAAATAATATCAAAATATACGTCCCATTATGCACAGTGAAATACATAAATATATTTTTATTCGGATTACACTGATTGAGTCTGAAACTTATTTTTTCGTAATTATCAAGCTGGCATCTGAAAACTGCAATAAAGTTTATCGCAACGGGTGTTCGGGATGCAAATCCTGTTGACGTAAAGGCAGCAATGTAATTAACTGAAATCATTAACAATGTCCTAGTCTTAATTTCATTCATAAAAAACAGGCCAAAATAGTCCCGGTCTAATTTCCTTTTCGTATATTTAACGAAGATCCCTTCAGAACATGTGCCTAGCCAAGGGTGGCTGTCGAGCCATTCTCAACCCTTGGAACCCTTAGTTACCTTTTAATTATCGCGACACTAGATAATCCAGTCGTTTCTACAGGGTGTAAAATTGCTAATAAAATTTTCGAAAATCCTTCAAGTCTCCTTCTTGAATTTTCTTTATTTCAACACTCGCAACGGTTTCACTGCGAAAATCGGAAATTCATGAAAATTCTTCGCAACTGAATTCTCTTCCAGCATCCATAGTCATGCAGAAACATATGGCTTCACATATGTAAGCATATAGGTAAACATATGTAAACCCACGGCTGGTACGAATTTCAAGGGAGTCCTCGTTTGATATAAAGCATACAGAATGTTGCTCGCATATTTCGGACCAAGGAATGCCAAACTAGTTTCCTTTGATCATAGCCGCAAATCTACGTCTATTACGTATATCGTTGTTCCAAGTATATTTAATTTTTGAGAAATCATATTTTTCGACGATTCAAAAGTCGTATCCTATGATTTCAAAAATATCACCGACAGCAATGCTATACATTTAAATCTTCGTGATAACAATTTCAATCCATTGTTCAATGATTTAATTGAATTCCCTTGGGAATATCTCCGTCTTTCTTCAGATCAGAGTAATTCCAGCAAAGATTCAAGTATCTCGTAATTAGCGGGACGGATTAAATGGCGGCCACAATTACAAGATACACGTATTAATTTCTACGCACGGAGATGCATACCTATATCTATGTATACTCTCAATATATATATATATATATATATATACCACGTTATATACACAATGCTGAAGTTTTAATATCTGCGAACGATAAACAAAGTGGCATGTAAACGAAGTGGACAGAAATGAGGGGTAATAAAATTTTGATTTCTTCCATACCGAGTATTGTTCCACCCATTTACGAAAGATAAAAAAAATACAAAAATTTTGTCCAATAAACGGAAACGAATTTTTCGTCAATTACGAATAAAAATTCTACCAGATTTATTTGCTCGGAGCAAATTAAAAACGCACGTACATGAAAAGCCTATAGTTTCAATTGATTATAATAGGAAAATGAATTTCTCACAAATCAGATCAGCTTCGTTTCACCGAATCACGTACGATTCCTCATTGGACGAAGCTGGTAGGTAAATTTCGGTTAAAAAATATAAATTTTTTTTTCACGTGTCATATAGAGTCAGGGAACACGTGACGTCCCTGAAGAATCCTACTGGTTTTTAGGTTTAACTGTAAGCAGAGAAGGACGAAACTTGGGACAAGAGCGTTAAAGGAACAGAGAGAAGCAGAGAGCCACTTGCTACAGTGAGGGCGATAAGGGAGGCTACAGGGGTTAGTACAGGGTGCAGGATGTAAGGGAAGAGAGGATGAGACCCCACAAAGGCAGTGGGGCTCTTTTGATTCGCAAGCTAATTGGAATGCCGCGGATGCCAACGGCGATGAGCTAGGGGTTGGTGCACGAGCTGCAGAGCCAGGGGGTGCTGGCGGAGGCTTCGGGGTTACCCGGGGCGGAGCTTATTTCTCCTAGGGGTGTAGCTCGCGATATGAAAGCTTATTTTATACTGTGACTTTTAAGCCACGTGTTTACGGGCCCGGACGACCTCAGAAAGATTTCGTAGCTATGCAAGAAGCCTTGACGATTGTGCATACTCCAGTTCCGCGATGCTGGGACATTAATGGACCCGATAACGAGGGTAATGATGGTTCGATAAGTAATTAGCTAATACACGTGGAATTCCGTGTAATTACAACGTCAGGATAACGACGTGACAGTCACGCCAGACCCACTGGTGACTCTTACGAAATATCTAGTTGAAAATTATTTGATGTTACGATCATTACAAGAAAAATTGTAGCATTTGATTTTTACGTAAAATTGAAAAAAAAAAAATTCGTTATCCCGATTATTAAAGTCTGACTCGGGAGAGATTTTTTCATAGGGTCTTTGACGTGGCTCCGACTAATTTATCACCCTTGACAAAAGGGATGGAATGACGAGGAAGTAGCCATTTTGCAAAAACGACTTGTATATACGTATATACATGCATATGCAATGCTATAGATGCACTGTATATAGGTATATTATTTATTATGTCATGATAATTTGAAAATTCTCAATCGTATTCACTGATATATTGTTGCTGTTAACAATTATTATTATTGCACTTTATTTCGTTCGGGCTCCGATAGAATAAAGATGTTAAGTTTAATTGTACAAAGCTAAGTGACGCGGTGGCTGGACTGTGGGAGTTATAAGAGAGAAGGAGAGAACGAGCGAGCGAAGGGGAGAAAGGGAGAGAGATCTCGTGATATTAATATTTAAACAAAAGCTTTGTGGTGGGAGAGCTTTTGCCTTTGTAGACCGGCAGCCATACTGCGGATCCATGTAAAAAGCTCTGACTCCCTCCTGCTCCCATTTGCTGCCCTCTTTTGCAGCCTCGTACCAACCCCTGACATCCCTCTTTCCATTCTCGTCCTTCTCCGAACCACCCTCCTCTTTTACTCCTGCACTTCCCGAGTCCACCTACCTATCCGAACCTCGAATCGGGGGTGATAGAGGAGACCATCTCGTTATACGGAAAAATCAATCTTTTGCAACGAGAGCTTGCGAAAAAATCCGAACTCTCAGTGTGCCTCAGGGTTTTATTAGGGTTGGTTTCCATCGATAATTCCTTCGTTACGGAACGTCCCGATAAAAATGTTAATTTTTTTTTTCTACAAAAAATTAAATTATTTTTTTTGACATAAGTGGTTATGGGATTTTTTAGATTTTATTTTTGGTTATCAAATGAGTAAATCATCAGTCCAATGTACAGACTCGAGAGTTTATTCTTTGCGATAACTATGCGTATGTATATTATGTATAAGTATACTGTTATCACGTATATACAATGAATTTTCACATAACATTCCCACGAATGTTTCACTGCTTGTCGAGCTTTTCTTTTCTTTTGATTGGCAACATGGTTACAGGTCTGGATGAATAATATAGAAACAGAAGAAGAAAGAATTCAATTCATAAATATAAGGGTGCGGTAGCGCATTTTTGGCTTCTTCCTTATGTACACGATGATAATTTTGAAGTTATCATTTTTTTCTTGATATTATTTTTAACGGATACAACACGTGCTCACGTTATGATACTTGCGTGACTTTAAGACTTATATAAAAATATATATTACACGTTATGGGATCGCGATCGACGTTAATCAAGATCGCTTTTTTTTTTTTCAAAGTTTTTCATTCCTTCACGAAACTTCTTCTCGATCGTTGGATTAATTTTTGCCGATTTCTCCTCGATGAGATTTTATCGTCTTGGCAGACGAGCGTTTAATCTTCAGTGATTGTAATGAGTACTCGAAGGATCGCGAGCCGTCTGAAGGGAGTGTCTAGTTCTTTCCCGAAGAACCGTACCGTGATCTCTGGAATGCCTCGATGATCCAGGTGTGTACGTAAATGAATTTTGATCCAGGTTTTGTTCGTCGTCGATCTGCGCCGCGTAATCGGGCGATCTAATATTTCTCGATCTTCGTGGTTTCATTGAATACAATGGTAATGGGGATCGCGATGCCTCATAAGATAATCCGAAATCCGTCATATCGTGTCTCGTCGCACAACGGCCGCAGATATTCAATTCCCTTGCTTCGCCGTCGTCTCCTGAAATTTTCATATGATTTTGATAAAATTGAATTTTCATTCAAAAATTCATAAATTTATCGACATATTAAAAATACGTACCAACTGGCCCCTTGACTGTGAAGCCTCTGCTGTCTTGCAAGCGGCAGTCGGTTTTCCTTCCAGAAGGCATCTTGGATGCAGCGGGATTAGCCGATTCGCCACAAACGTAGCATTTCTTTGGGTGGGAATTCAACAGTTCAGCTTCCCTGAAAGATTCCAGGTCTGCTCTTGTTGTATGAGATCTACGATTTTGCTGAGGTTGCGGTGAGGTCGGTTTTATCACTTTGTATCGATCGGTATGTTCCCTCGGTTGTGCACGGGATTGTATTGTTTGTTGTAGTAGCGATGGCCGTCTCGAAGATTTACGCGGTGATAAGGGTGGCGTCGGTGGCGTCGGTGGCGTCGTGACCTCTTCTTCCGACGCCAAGTCCGCAACGTCTCCGTATGACGTCTCGTGCATGTTCGTATGACGACAGCTTCACATCGTCAAAGAATTATGTATAAATATACAAAGACAAAAATATGTTTATTGTTATCGTACCGTGGCTGCATTTGTTTTTGTTGCAATTTGTGAATACGTTGTTGCTGAAGTCTTCGAGCCTCCTGTTGGGCTCGGTGTTGTAATTCCGCGTGAACTCTGCATCGCATCCGGCGGTGCATTTGAGGTAAGGTGTCTGACTCTTCATCGACCTCATCGTCAGCTTCTTGTTCCTCGTAATCCTTTTCAGTGTATACGTAATTATCTTCGCGATCATCATCTCCTGAAATAGTAAAATAATATTTTTTATCTAGATCCATGTTTTTGACTTTTATTATTAAATTTTCTTTTATCCAATTTTCTACCTTGTTCGACCACGTCATCTTCGGGATTTTCATCAGCTGATACTTCTATATCGTCATCCTCGTACTTTAAATCGTCACCGTCATCCAGATCGGTCTTATAACGATTTCTTCTAGCAATCGCTATGTTGTTTGCCAGGAGTTTGTTTCTTGTGCTCTTTATACCCGTTTCTTCACGGTACGCTTGATCGGAGACTTGCTGGGCATATTTTGGCGGCAAAGTGCTTGTTTGAATTCTTTTGAATTGCTTATATGGTTTGTAGGAATTTGTTGTGGAGTAACTCGCTATGGGATCCACTAAGTTGTAATCGTATTTCCTGGATAAGAAATTGAGAAAGATTTTTTTTGTCGTTTATAAATAAAAGAAAATTTTTTGCGGTAATCTTTTTGACAAAATATTCACCTTTCGCCGTGAGGGTGAGACGTTATATGGGGATTTCTTTGGGCGTATTTCCAGTATGCGTCGGCGGCACCTCCACCATTCGTCGGAGATCTCGACGGCCATGATGGAAGATGCGAAGCCATGCATTTTGATTTTCGTAACTTATTCGCTTGTAAATTCTCAAGGTTGGTTTCTTCCATATTCTTTTATATGAATTATAACTTTTTGGGAATTTTTGCTGGAGGTATCTCTTCGTTCAAAAGTATCTTAGTGAAAAGCGCGACTTCTTCACAAGAATCGTACATTCATAATTTACGACACACAGATCGCTTTAATAGATTTTTTTGAAAAGTTTCAAAAATCATATCAATCGAAATTTTCACATTAATTGATTTTGGGCTTAATCAATTCTCATGAGTATCCAAATCTGTAGTAGCATGTAGAGTCGCAGAACTTGTGTAGTTCGGAAACGTCAAAGTTTTTGTTATTGTTAAAGTACCGTTTAGCTGCTTGCTGAGTACGGAAAGATCTTTTCCAAAATGCCTCGTATCCTTGATCAAATCTATATTTGAGGCTTGTATAAAAATGCTCGAGACACATTGGTCGTTCTTTTTGGTCCTTTCGAAAGAAATTCTTTCACGAGTATGAACGAACGATGTTCTGTTATTTTATATATTTTCTCAACACAAAGTGTTCTTCTATTTGAATTATGCTCCTTTTCGATTTTCTTCTCTCCCTCGTATAGATCAAAAGTTTTTTGCTTTTATTTTCAAAAAAATAAAAATAATACTTAATATCCACAAATAAAAAAAGACTGATACGGATACCAGGCCTGCTCGATTATATAGTCACCGTATACGATCAAAAAATAAATAATAAAAAGAATAAGAAAAATAGTTCTCAAAAAACCACAACCCGTTCAGAAAACAGCTAAGCAAAAAAATTGGCATTGAACGTCCAATAGTCCATAAGAGAAGTTGCAGAATTAATATAAAAGTTCATCCAACGAATGAGAGTTTCATATATTCGGGGTGAATTTCTCGGGTGGATTCAGGGTTGTTCACCACTCTCCAGTCTCGTCACAATCCTCGTGCTCCAGGGATGAGAGTGATCGCTGATGTATTTCGCGCAGCTGCTGACTCTGTTGCTCGTGATGATGTTTGCGCCACTTTATTCGCCGATTTTGAAACCAGACCTTAACCTGAGCCTCAGTGAGTCTCAGGGCGTGGGCCAGGTACTGTCTCTCAGGCCCAACCATGTATTGCTGCCTTGCAAACTCACCCTCAAGTTTCTCGAGTTGCTCTGCCGTGAATATCGTTCGAACCCTTTTTGATTTTCCACCACCGTTACTTCTATTATCACCTCCTCCTCCGCCACCTCCTGGACCAGCCGAACTTGTACTCGAGGAACCGTTCTTTGCTGAATTTTCGAAACCTGCAATTATATTGTCATATTCAGGAATTCAAGGTGTCCTCCCTACAATAGTTTTGACTACCGCCAAATCATTATCAATATACTTGGAGTTTTGACACAAGAAGTTAGGAGGAAGAATTTAATATTTTTTTTTTTTTTTTTTTTTAATATTTATTATGGGTTTTGTAGCTACTTCAAAGAAAATTGTACGTAAACCTTAAGTGATCAGCAAGGTTCGAAATGTTTTGTGGAAAACGCGATACTTCTGATTGTTCCTGATGTGCGTAGTAAAACTGAAATTTATTGAAATTCCACCTTTCAATACAGAGGCTATAAAGACAGCGAAATGACAACTCCGTAGATTCTCATTTGTTCGGAAAATTATTTATTTCGAGTCGATCGAATTGTTTTAATACCATCGATGCAATTTTTATTCATTTCTTTTTTTTTTTATCTAATTTTCCTATAATAAATTTTCGACTTTGGCATAAACGTAAATACTGTACCTTGATGTTTGCGAAATTGTTGTTGCTGACCTCGCTGATGTTTCTCACGCGGATTATTTTTGTGTCCAAGAATATAGTCAATAGTAAAGGATTTGGGTTGTTGCTGTTGTTGCTGCTGCTGCGAGTGTTGCATGTGCGTGATAGAGTGTGGAAGTTGCGTAGCCAAATTCTGTGGAGATCTTTCAGTCTTGGATAAATGTGATCTTCTCATGCCCTCCAGAGTGATGGTCTCGAGATCAGGACTTCTTGGTTGCATTTGAAAATTCCGGAAGTAGTTCGATTCCAGCATGGAAGGAGCATCGAGCAATGCATTTGGAGGAATTCGGTCCAGGGCAATATTTCCAATATGAGAATCTCGCATTCGATCTAAATACATATTGAACTCGTTTATTCGATCTATAGATAAATTATTCTTCAGCATCCCAAAACCTTTGATCTCTCTATCTGTCGTGATTCCTGGACCCTTGCTCCTGTCCAGGGACGTCTGAAGGGATTTTTGACGACCGTCTCGCGTGAAATTGAACAGGATACCAGCTGCAGTGGAATCCTTTGCCTTGCAGAGAGATTCCAAAAATGAGTCAGCATCGCTCGATCGGTCCATAGGATAATTTGCTGGATCCTTTGATTTTGTTATAGGTAACGTAAAGTCCTTGGATTTCTCTAACGATACAGAATGATCTCTATTTCTCTCCCCAGAGAATCCATCAAACACCATACTTCGCTGTCTGCAAGCATCAAGCGGAAAATGAAAATCCTTCGATTCGATAATTGGCTCGTCTTTGATTTTCTCCAGAGATAAATTCAGTTCCTTAATTCTGTTATAATCCTGGAAACCATTCACCTTAAATTCCGAATGACTGTTTTCACTCCTATCTGACAGATCTTCCATGATTACGTGACCCGTCGGATCATTCGTTTGCATCTTACCGTAAAATTTTGTTTGGAAAATTTCTCCAAAAATTTCTAGACACCAATTTTTTAAAAATCTATTGGCACTTTGAATTTCACTGTCAACACACTGACAATCGCGATATACTTTCCGCGCAAAAATACACTGAGCCAAAAATTATCTCAAAAATTAACAAAAATCCACATACCCAAAAGCACAAATTCTCAGAAGAGTCCTTTCCACTAATAGCACTCACTGTTAGTCACATCTTTCTAAAAGAGTTTCAAGAAACTTCAAACCGACCCAGAAATCGTCCCTTTTTTAAGTAGAGCTTTAAGCACGCATTTTTAACCACTCGAAAATATATTTATTCGATAATCCAAAATGTGGTCCAATCAATGAAAAATCTTTTTACAACCTCAAATTCCGTGGCGGTCCATCCAAAAAGCACAAGAGCACCGGTAAGAACGTTTAAAATCGTAGATGCAAGCTCAGTCAGCATCAGCACAGAGGATCAAGAAAATACCGAGTGCTTTCGAGAGCTTTTGCGAATAATGATGTCAGCGCAGATCACTGGTAACACTAGTCGGGACTAAGGATATCCGGCTAATGATCCCGTACGTGACGGGGTATTTACCCCCAGCATCCCCCAATCAGTCGGCCGCGTTCACCTCTGCAACCCCCAAATGGACCGCATAATCCAGCGGTCAATATTTTTCCGTCGATGGGAACGGAGCAGCACGTTCATTGGCCAACATAGAGGGTGAACCACGCCCCTTGGATTCTCATGGGGCTTATTTGCGGGGAGTCTCTTACCTTTTTGCCCCACGCTATGCAACCCATTAATAAGCTTTCGTAGAGCGCAGTATAGCTGAGCTCACCCGGCTCCTCGGCAATGATGTCATCTGCGTCTAAGACGCTCTGGTAATTAGGTGCCGACTAATGATGATGAGGTTATTTAATCCTGGCCTCTGCTTTTTTTACAACCCCTGTTTTCCTCATGACCTAATCGCGTCTTGGTAACCGTCAACCAATCTGATTGCGTTAACACGATATGTTTATCCGGAAAATTTACTATATACGTCTGATCAAAATTGGCTGATAAAAATAATTAAACAGGTTCGAAGAATTACAAAATATTTTAATTACGTAACACGTGCAATTCTTAGCTTAGAAATTTTTTATTACAAAACTTGACCTTTCCGTACTGATTTATTGTCATCGATAAGGTATCGATTGATTTAATTAGTTTCGAGCCAATGATGCACCCTGCGATCTATTTCAATTTGTTTCACTATAAATTGTTTAATTATTTTTTTCTCTGGCAAAAGTTTATCCCCCCCCCATCACCCCTCCTTCCTCACCCCGAATCTCTCATTAGCCGTTGATGGGCTCGTAGGAATTTCAGTACCCCGGAAAAACTCTAAGGAGCTTATGGCCAATGTCAAGAGCTTAATTATTTCCGCACAGCTTTGGTTAACCCGTTACAAAAGCATCTCTGACGTAAAAACTTTAAGGCATCGCTAAATCTTTAATAAAATCGGTAGACGCGTTATTCATATCGTTCATTAATTTTCAACCACTAAACTATCCCACGTGTTCCAACTATAACAGATAAATTAGCGGAGGTAATAACCCGTTAAACTATCAAAGTACGAAGACCATTATGAACTTCATATTAAGCTATAAATTCCAAATATAGTGAAAAGTTGTAGAATAATCCCTAAAATCGATAGTGTCGGTGAAAATGTAGTTTCCCTATAAATAACGTAAAATTATACAATGCAAAATGATTTTCGACCGACAGTAAATTTGTTTAATTTAAATATATTTTTTGTTATGCAATAATATCGTTGCCTCGGGGTTTGATGAAGTTAAGTAAAAAAATAATATTGGTCGAATATCAATTTTAGGTGTTGGAATCGAGCGAGAAATTACTAAAGGGGGATCAGAGGGAGAATACGGAATTCGGAGTTATTACAGTCACACTGTATAAAGTCGAGTAATTATTAGCTTTCGAGTAAGAAGCTCAGAGTTGGGTAGATCCATGTCTGGGGATGCTGATGGGGACGAAAGCGCGAAGAGATCAGCAACGCCAAGACGATCCGGGGGAATGGTGTAACGGGGGGGACAAATGTTTAAATTAAATAGGGGACTGGGAGGACGAAAGAATTTCTATTGAAGCTCAATACCAAACCTCCCTTCCCTTGTCCCCGTAACAGGGGTACAAATGACTTGCGAGTCACCCTTATTACAGAGTTGGATTTATCACCGAAATTTCGGCAAGTATTTTACTCGAATAATTGCTACGCTTTATAAGAGACCCCTTACGACTGATATATATAAGACGAATATGGCAGCGGCCTTTTATTCGTCTTACGGAATTTCGTATAAGGGATGTTTCTCTTACGACGTCAATATAATTAATTTTGAGAACCTTTCACGAATTTTTATTATTTTTATTAGTAATTCCGTTTCTGATTAAGAATCTTTGACCAAAATTAAAAAAAAAAAACAATCCAATCTGACTCGTTATCAGTATGCATATTCCATATGTGCTTCAATTTAATCGAAAATCAATAATTTTCAATGCACTTGATGCAGGCAATACCGATCCCGGATATTTGAGCTCGAAGTCCAATATAAAAAAAGGGTACAAGGTAGTACGAATTTTTTTCAAAATTAATTCAATCGAATTGAACTCTGTCTGTGCATCGGCATGTATGGAGATAAGTATTTGCATATGTAAAATACGTATTCCACATATGCGAAGATCTGATGCCGAACTTATATACTTGCTGTTTAGTTAGGCTGGTACGTGGGTTGTATATGTATTTCCATCTACAGCTTCATCTTCTAGCTTGAAGTTTTTCTACCCCCTTTTCCTCTGTCCCAGCCCCATATCCCATCCTGCATTCTGCTGCCTTATCCCTGGATTTCATTCCATATGCGATATTAAACCGGGGGCAATTAGCCGTGGATTCGCGTGGGTTTACGGCGATTGGTGGTGCGAAGAGGGAAACGAGTGTTGGTGGGGTTGTCTTTGATATGATTGGTTGTCTTCAGCTTTATCCAGGACACGGCCACACCCCTGTACATCTCAATCCACCCCCGTAGTCCGTGAGCTTCGTATTTGTTGTTCCCTTGTGTTGTACTATCTGGTATCATTTCACGTTTTAGGGGTGGATCGTCAAGATCTTTTTCAACTTGTTTAAAATTCGTTATAAGCTGACCCATGGAGGAATATTGAATTGGTATTATAGGAATTTAAATATTTTATTTATGTCTTTGCTTTGCTATACTATATACCTATTACTAAGGATGATTGCATTCGTGATAATTATATTTATACATATTTCTGCTCGTTCTTACAATATAATAGTAAAATTATTTTCATTTATTAGAATACTTTGCCTGACTTTTATAGTGCAATTAACTACATAAAATATATGCCACGTTTATTCTTAAAGAAATTGCAAGTTGCACAATATTAACTAAATATTTTTACCGACACTTGGGAAAACTATTTGCGCTACTTGCTCCCTCTGACCTTTCTTTCTAGAAGTAGTTCAAAGGTCGCAGCACCGTCGATAAAGTGGATAAATCGATATCAAAGCGTATCATACCTGAATGATAAAGAAGTGAATTAATATTTCCTCTCGTTCCATACAGATGGATCTTGCATCAGTTAATTTATTATACAATATACAGAAAAATTGACAAAAAAGTGCCTATTAAATAATAGATTAATTATTTAATTCAATTAATTGTTCAAAACGGATCAATCATCCAAGAAGTATTACTGACAGTAAAAAAGCAGTCGTAGCCCACGATGATTTTAAGCGTGTAAAAGCATTTGAGACAATTAAATTAATTAAGCATCCCACGTGCATCGCACTGTTACAAAAGTTCAACTAGAGTTCAATTAATTTCTCAGTAAGTTAACTCGTAAACGTCCGCACTAGATGCAAATACTAACTTAATTTGCCAATCGCTCCTGTTTCCGTGAAAGATGTCTGTATTTATTCCGTTTTAGAACCGATAACATTCATATACCGCCACAGACTTATCGCTCCTGACAGGAGTGTTATTTTTAGTAAACCAAAGAGGAATCCCCAAGATATTCGATTCGTAAACCACAAGTTTTTATCTCACCACAATGACGTAATCGCACAAAAACGTAAAAACCAAACCAAAATTTTATTAATTCATCATTATTATTAACACGGTTCGATTTTCGTATGAAAAATATGTTCGACCAATTTGAAAAACAAAATATAATTTTCAATTTACTCAATAAGTACAATAACACGTCGACAATCTAGACTCGATCCATGATATAACAAAAAAAAAATGATTTTTTTAGATGATTACAGGTACATTCCTAAATTCATCGTCAGTACTATGAATATCATTGAGCCCCTGTTCAACTTCGTACAATAGAGCGAGACACATCCACGCTCACAGTACTTGCAGTGAATTTCGAAACACCTTAACTATGATCCAAGAATCGTAAAATTGGACCCAAAAATATTGTCATCACTGACTGTAATATCGTATAGAATTTAGACTTCCTGGTGTATGACGTTTATATTCCAAGCACGTGGCTTTTGGTAAACAAACAATGCAAGAGGAAAGATCCTTATTAACAGTTCTCTTGTGCATTTTCCGTCAAGCATTGTTCGATTTCATGTACAAGAGAAACGTGCTACGCTACTACGGTATTCATTGCGCAATCGTAATCATGGTTTGCATCAGGAATATTACTTTCGGGTTAATTGCTACGATTACACCTTATCAAAATATTCGTGACAATTGTTTCGCTTTAATAAAATACTAATCAAATAAGTAAAAATAAATGATTCGGTGAACTGTTCTGATTGGAGTCTTCCGCTTGAAATTCAGTTTCCCGTAGTGTTTTTTCCTCATGATGAAATTGATTTAACCTAACCTGACAAAGGATACTAAGATTTCCCAGTATTCCATTGATTCCAAATAGGCTTTCATTTCAGTCTGGAACAAAAACGTCTGTATATAAACTGTAGCACGTGATATATATTAAATTATACGTCGTACCTCCGGCTATATTCATCATTCATATATGTCATTGTTACATACTGCAATTATTTTGCGAAACTGCCGATCGTTCTTACCACAAAGATTATAGATGGAACATACCTGCGCACTGTGGTCATCAAAAATGCGTCTGAGAATCCGGCATTATTTCTTTGTTCAAACGAACGTACGAAGAGGGATAAAAAAAGTAAGGTATTTTCTAGTAAAATTTATAGCAAGAAAAAAACAAGTAAATTAATAGATTTATTTTTTATAGTGATTAAGATAAAAAATTATTTAATTAATAACGTTTCTATTCGGAATTATCCGCTTTTTTCTTTACTGACTTTCAACTAGTTTCATGCTCAGTCAACTGTTACCATGTTTCTGTACAGAGAATGCATCTTGGGTTTCGTAATCTGATTCCTGCATTATTTCTTTATCGAGTCTTGAAAAACGATACTGTGGTAAAAGGATTAGTGGTTAAAAGTTGGGATGATAACAGGGAAAATAAAAGTACAGGGACTCCCACCAGTCTGTTAACAGACCGGTACGTTATTCTTGGCGAACCCCATTTAGCTTTAGTCTTCAGTATCCCTTCGAACCAACGGGACGCGTATCCTCTTCTACGTAGTATATAACAATGATAATAGTTTACCGATCTTATAAAATAATTAATATTGCACAGTTTCATTGGATGATAATAAATAAAGCAAATGAATAAGAAAAATGCATAATCTAAAATTATATTTAAAAAAATGTTGGCTATGGTAGTAAAGCCAGTAACGGATAACAGTGAAATCAAAGTGAACAAAGAAAGTTCGAAAAAAAAGAAAAATCAGGACAAAAATACATTATCGGTTATTAATCGCGATTATTCGATAATGACTGATACCACTGTCCGATCGGATTTACAGGACAGGAATTTGCGAAATAAAATTTTGAACCGTTCTAGAAACTCGGGTGGATCCTCGTCCTCGAATTCCTGGAGTTCGTATCTGGTAATACATCCCGAGGAAGTGCCGGCGATTTGGTATAATGAAAATTGGGAAAAAATCGAAAGGAATCATATAACTGATAGTGTACAATTAAATAGTGCATCGATTACGTACTGCGGCCCAAAGCGCGGTTTTAATTGGTATTTCAAAATAAAACACGGAATTCTCAAAAACATCAAAAACAAAGTTTATCCAGCAATCGTTACGGGGTAAGTAAAAGACATTGATTATCATTGTTTACAATATAAAAATTATTACTCAATAAGATTTTTCAACTCTGTTTATTGTCATAGATAAAAATTTATTTTAATCATTATTACTTTTTCATTGCACGTACGATTATCATAGGCAGTGACATTATTACAGGTTGTATTCGTTAAGCGTACACTGACAGCATGGTGTTATCGATAGCATAATGTCGCCAATTATTGATGGCATAATTAATTCGATGATAAAATAATATATCAAATTTTACGAATGTTCATATCGTTATCATGAATCAATTTAAAAATTAATCGATCGATAACTCAATTGAAGGTTTATCGGTACGGAGTTTAAAGACCCCAGGAAATACAAATGGAAAACGAAACACAGGACAGGTTGTCAGGGAAACGCGCAAGTGAGTCACTCCTCGTGTGAACCACGCGCGTTTGTAGCAATTGTATATACGTTCATGAAAATCAACGTAGGGTGTCTAATCGCATGCGTGGTTGTTACACGCATGTGCGTAATGGACTTCCTGTGTGCATCGAACCTGAACGTTACACCGACTCCACCTCCATCAATTCACTCAGCTGTGTATGTAATTACGAAATTCTTTTTTTTTAGTGAATTTCCCGTCGATTTCTCAAGAGTTCAAAGCTACCTTTATGTTCAGTTATTTTATTAAGTATCTTTTTATCGGTAATTATTTCGGGCTAAAATTAGATCTTTGATTTACTATACATAGGTGTAATGTCCGAATTTGAATTTCTTTTAAACGTTACGTGAATTAGAGGTACATTGGCTTAAGAAATAAATACCAGGAATATTATGTTGTACATAATAATATCATAGTCAAAAATGTCTATATTCTATAATTTTAATTATCAATAAAAAAGCCATTTTCAACGATAGTACATTATCGCTGTAATTCTGTTTCTTTTATATATACATCTTTCTCATATTCATGTACATCTCAATAAACACGTGCGTGTACATGACATATGTCGTGTACGTGAAAATAGTAAACAAAAATTTACAAATTGAAATTTTTATTGGAAATTAATTTCATTTTGAAATAATATTTTGCATGATATAATAAATGTTATAATTGTTTTAATTGCTAATTAATTGAAATTCTCTAAAAGGTATTTCCTGTATTTGCTGTGTTTATAAAAAATTTTTATTTTTTTCTGCTTACACGTCATATTTCTATTGAATATGGTGAAACGATTACATATTTTTGTAGGGATAATTATGTCGTTACGCAAGAGTTGTGGAAACTGTACGTTTCCTCTCAGTTAGTCGGCGGCTCTTCGGATCGCAACACCTGTTTTGATAATCTTGCAAAACCAAAACTTTTGTATAGTGCCATAATAGAAATTTGAAAAATTATTTCGTGAGATTCGTTCTTCTATCTACTTATGATAATTAGGACTCCTCGTATAATTAATGCTGGGGACACCGTTATCAATGTTCATTCGGCAACTATAATAATAACTGTGACTGATAAAATAGTGATAAGTGAAGGAAACTATCTATTGGCAACGCTTCCGTGATTTTTTAAAGCTTTTCTTTATACATATATTTGTAAATCACAAATGTCATCCAAAAAAGATAGTGAAGAGCGAAATAAGTAGATAAGATAATTGGGAGGAAGAAGTAAGATAATTATTGGAAGTTACAAAAGCTTCATACATTAATGGTAACACAGTTGGCTTCTTACTTTCAAAGAGTTAGGTGCGCGAATTAATTTAAAAAAAATTACTGTGCAGTGAAAAAATTTAAAAATCTTTTAATATTTTTTAAATTTGTTTCTTTCTTGACGCGAAATTTTGAAAAGTGTTTTAGTGTACTGATACAACAATGTCGTGGGCATTTTGGAAACGCAATCAAAATTTGAAATCTAAAGTGACTATTGATGTTACCAGTGAAATCACTGAGGACGCTTCTGTAAAACTTCCAGTTTCACTATCATGTAGTCCCCAGTGAGTATATTTTGTTATTTAACAATGGACCAAATATTATAAAATATTGTTAATTTTGTTTACTCCTATTATATTGTATTTCATAAGAAATCATATTTTCTCACATTAACGAATTTTACAATTTAAAAAATTTGTTCACGACACTTAATCTTGTGTGTTCAAATTTGCCTGTCCTAAGTTATTATATATTACATCGAAGTTACGTCATACGAGACACGTAGGTAGAATCACTGTACAAACGTTTTTCAAGTAAATTTCTGATAATTCTATTTTTAACCATAAAATGGTAGTACAATTTTTTTTTGTACTGCGTATGGAAAAATTTGATATTTTTAAGTGGCCTCATCTTGCTCGTGCAAACTTTTTCTAGTTCCTTGTAACAAAATCAATAGAATGAATTCGTCTGCATAAATTGTCATAGTGCCCATTATGAAAAATACTTTTTGTCTAGTATTTCTTTAACAGGAGTTCCTGTTCATTCATATGTCAATGAAACGAACGAATTCAATGATTGACGCTTTCATCATTTTTTTTTCTTCTTCACGAGAATCTTTATTTCACTCTATAGATTTGTTTATTCGACTATGTTGTGGACTCCTTGTAATTTCTATTGAGAAGCACAGTCTCTCCTCAGAGCAAGTTACTATATGAGAACCCTCAATGAGATTACAATGAATAATGTTATGTTTATGTGACTATTTTGTTTTTTATATAAAAGTTGATTAGGTTGAAAATCACGAAGATTTTATCACTTTGTCTTACGTAACTTTAGAAATGTCATGTTGATTGATGATTTTGCAGATACATTGCAGTACCGCATTCACTTTTTATATCTAAATTCTTTCAATTTTTGTGGGTGGAATTAATTATTCCTTCCCCGAAATTAGGTTAGGACCACTTTTAATTTGACTTTAGAGATGTATTTCCAGGATCTGTTTTAAAAAATTTTATTGGTTCATTAGACAGCTTGGTATTATGTTTCAAATTTCTTGGTACATGAGACTGACAAATGTGCTTGCTTAGACTGTTAACTGGGTATTTAGTATTTCACTCGAAATGAGACTCAAGTTGAAGAAACTCTACGAGGGG